CTGCTACCCTTGATTGGGAATCAAACGCATGACCCTTAGGTGCATGAGCCAGGGCTCCTTCATTTCATCATAATGACTACAGAATTCATAGAATAAATATTCCATCATTTATTTCACTACTCCCCTGTTAGATATTTAAGTTTTTTCCAACAGTTGCTATCATAAACAATGCTGCACAAAACAAACTGTGTACATGTGTGGGTGACTTTGAAGGGTAAAACCTTGGAAATGGGATTTTTCTGGGTCAGAAAATGCACACTTTTAAGTTTTTGACTGATGTTTATATTATATTAGAGGCCCAGTGCACAACATTCGTGCACTTGGCGGGGGGGGGGGGGGGTGACCCTTATCCTGGCCTGTACCCTCTACAGTCAGAGACCCCTTGGGGGGTGTTCCCTCAGGGAGCGGGCCTAAGCCGGCAGTTGGACATCCCCTGAGGGGGGTCCTTAGTGCTGCTGGGGAGACCAGAGAATCTCCCGCTGCTGCACTCTCCAACCATGAGCCTGGCTTCTGGCTGAGTGGCCACCAGGGGCAGCTCCTGCATTGAGCATCTACCATCTGGTGGTCAGTGTACATCATAGTGAGCATTCATTTGATCGATTTGCATACTAGCCTTTTATTATATAGTATGGGAGGTGAAATAATTATTCAAACTTAAAGTTATTAACCATACAGTTGGTCTCTATTTCAAATGTTATGCCTGTTTGATAAAACCTATCTATATTGACCACTTATGTGTCAGATATGATTAGCACTTTTTATACATCACTTTTTTTTTTTTTTAAGAGGACGTTTATTAAAGTTGGGTACAGTGAAACAGGAAAGGGCAGAAGAAATGAGCCTAGAATGGGCTTCTTTGGCTCACTAAGAAGTCAGAGAAAAGGGGGCTTTAGGGACAGGTTTAGGGGGTTTGCCCAGGATGAATTGCCACTGACCATTGTTACCCTAGTTGCAAGTATCATGAGGTCCCTTAGAGTTTAGGAGATGCATCCCTGTAGGGAAAGAAAGGGGGAAGGCTTGGGCATGCAAGCAGGCCCATTTTACTTATTCTTAACAACAACCCTCTAAGTATTAATACAGTCTTTTTCACAGATGAAGAAACTGAGTCTCAAGGAAATTAATGCCCAGGTATATACTGTCTATTAAGTGGCAGAAACCGGACTTTAAATTTTTTTTGTCTAATTCCAAAACCAGGTTCTTAAATGTGATGCTATCCTTCCTTCCCCTGAGCATGGCTTTTGTTTTAGAAAATATGGTCACCATAATATATTTTATAAGCTTCCTCAAATCATTATTTCAAAGAGGAGTAGCGCTCTATAATAAGAGTCAAACCCGTTGCCTGAGATGCTGTGTATTGAGAAACAAAGGGGTTGGAGCTTAGATAGAAACTAAATCTCTGGAAATTGGGCCCTGCTCCTGGTTTCCTGGGCTCAACTGCACTTTTTCTGAAGAGGTTGGTGAGCCCTCTACATCCACCCAGCTAAGACAAGGTCTTGTTCATAAGAACTGCTCGAGGGCCAACAGTACGATCTGGGAACAAATAAGGAGAGCCCCTCACACCAGGCTAATGTCTCTGTGATTCCATCCCTCACAGTACGCTGCTGATCCCCAGGACAAGCACTGGCTGGCCGAGCAACATCACATGCGGGCAACCGGGGGGAAGATGGTGAGCACTGTTCCCTCGTGACACTGCCAGGACCCACGCAGCCCAGGAGCCAGGTTCTGGCCATTGGTGGCAGCTTACCCCCAAATCTGAGAGACTCTCAAAGCCGGATGAATGTAGAAAGGCAGGCGTGTGAGGATAGAGAGGGCCATTCCTTCATGCTGAACAGCAGGCTGGAATTCCCTTTGCTGTCCTTAGGTCTCCCGCACAGCACCCCCTCAGCCCCTCCTCACCTCATTCCTCATTCGTAGCTTTTATTAGCAAAACAGAAGAATGGCGGGTACAACTGATTATCCCTTGTGCCTGTTGACAAATTTCACTCATCGATCACAACATTCTGCACCTGACACCATTAAAGAATCTTTTCTCAACACAGTCCTTGTCATTCCTGGGATGGTTATTAGAATCCAATGGCCTTGCAAACCAGTATGCCATCTCTTTTCTGGTATTAAAAGCTATCTTTTATTTTACTGCTATATTTATACCTACATCCTGTCTCAAAAAAAAAAAAAAAAATAGGTGAGGGGAAGACAGGATCTAAAATTAGAGCAAGACTAGGTTTTTTGTCTTGTTTTGTTTTTATTGCTGACGTGAGAGACCAGTGCACTTCTGGGCTTCCAGCTCTAGGCTCCTCTCAAGAACACCTGGTCTGTTAGAAAGTTTGCCATGTCCTTAAGGTGACAGTCAAATGACCCAAGGGACACACAACTAATTATTCCTGACCCTAAGACTGAAAGACATGTCTCCCGCAGAAGGCTTTTTCACGTGAGGAACGACATCCTCGATGGGAAGCTCAAAGAGGGCTCTCGCCCGCTGCAGCCCACGGCATTGTGCCAGCAGCTTTACAGGCCTCAGAGCAACACAGCCCAGTTACTAGACAATTATCCCTTCGGCCACAAAGTTCAAAACCAAATAATCTTGGTTCCCAGAGTTAACATAGCTTCCTCCAATTTCCTGTTTCCGTGTATATTTCACTCGCTCTCTTGCCATTTTTTTTTTCTTGCCATTTTGTTATTCAGTACCTTGGGATCCTTCTTATTTTATTTCTAATATATTTTTACTGCCAAAACCGGTTTGGCTCAGTGGATAGAGCATCAGCCTATGGACTGAAAGGTTCGGGTTTGATTCTGGTCAAGGACATGTACCTTGGTTGTGGGCACATCCCCAGTAGGGGTTGTGAAAGAGGCAGCTGATCGATGTTTCTGACTCTCTATCTCTCTCCCTCTCTATAAAAAATCAATTAAAAAAACATATATACACACACACACACATACACCGTATTTTCCGGCGTATAAGACAACCCCCTAATTTTAGTTAAAACATAGGTTTAGGCCTATATTCGCTGTATAAGACTACCCCCCACTTAAAAGAAAAGACTTACTTTGCCATCAAGATCTGCAGGTAATTTTTGTGCAATTTTGGTCTTTTGCCCTCGATTTTCGGTTGACTTTTTTTCGTTTCAAAAGTCGTCTTATACACCGGAAAATACGGTGTGTGTGTGTGTGTGTGTGTGTGTGTGTGTATGTGTGTGTGTGTGTGTGTGTGTTTAATTCCAGAGGAAGAGGGAGAGATAGAAACATCAACGATGAGAGAGAATCATTAATTGGCTGCCTCCTGCATACCCCCCTACTAGGGATATAGCCCACAACTGGGCTTGTGCCCTGACTGGGAATCGAACCATGACCTTATGGTTCATAGGTCGACCCTCAACCACTGTGCCACACCCAGCCAGGATCAGGGTCCTTTTTTAAAAGAGGAGAAAGTTATAGTTACCAGTTTTCACTCCCCTACCCATAATTTCTATTTGAGTGAAAGATTGCCTCAAGGAACTGTCCCTATTTACTCCCCCCTACTAAGTTATAAACCATGCCCCCCTTCCTTACGCCCTTACATCAAGCAAATGTTTAATAAAGTGTGGTTAAGCTACACAGAAATGAATCGGAGTTGATGATCACTCTCCCTTGCTCCTCACCAGGCCTACCTCCTCATTGAAGAGGACATCCGGGACCTCGCTGCCAGCGATGATTACAGGTAAATCGATCTGTCCCCTGCTCTCTCCCTGCCTTACAGTACCCCAGGACGAGCCAGGCCTACATCCTGTCTTCAACTTTTTTCCTCAATGTCTTTGTCAGAGGATGCCTGGACCTGAAGTTAGAGGAGCTGAAATCCTTTGTCCTACCCTCCTGGATAGTTGAGAAGATGCGAAAGTACATGGAGACTCAACGGACAGAGAACGAGCATCGTGCAGTCGAAGCACCTGCACAGACCTGAAGCCAGGTGGCCTGGCCACACCAGGCAGCCTTCCTCATGACCCTCTTTCCCTGTGACTGAGGCCACCACTGAGACTGCTCCCACATGGATGATAGCGGCATTAAGCTGTGCCTCTCAGGGGTGATCACTACAGAGCATCCCAGACTGGCATGTAGTTCTATATTTGTAAAGTTATTAGGATAAGAAGCAATTAAAGTTTGTAATAAACACACATGAGCCTGCTGTGTGTTCTGCCCTGTGGGGGCTGATAAAACATCAAGGACTCTAGAAGTGGGTAGAGGAAAGGCCCAGGTACCCCTCTCTCACCCCCGGTTAGACCCAGGAAGGTCCTGCTGCCCTTTTTGCTTTATGATGCTGGGAACACCTTACACACCTCCCTGTCCTCTGTTTCTTCACCCAACTTCGGCATGAAAGTAGCAGAATGTAATGGGTGGCACCCTGGTGGGTTCATCACAGACCAGAATAAAAATGCAAAGTGGCTTTTATTACCCCCATTTTATAGATGAAAACACTAAATATGTAGAAAGGCAGCATATGAACCTACTTTCTAATAGGGAGTCAGCCTCAAGGTTTTCCCCTCTCAGTGGGCCCAGAACGTAATGGAAGAGAGGCAGGGGTTCCGGGTTTCACGGAGGGGTACCAGGCTAGATTAGAGGCTCTCTTTCCCCCAGAGTAGGGTTCGGGGCTGGGCGTTGTGGCCGAAACCCGTAACCCTGAGATTGACCTAAAGGGGCACGTCCCACGTGGATTTTTTTCTTAGCCCTTTAATGGTGGCCGTTTTCCAAAAACCACCAATCCACTGCAGACTCGTTTTAATGGCAGCCCCTCCAGCCAATCGCCCGTCCGAATCGGGATTCCCGCGGCTCGGGAGTGGTGCGCTGGTGAGTGCGTCTAGCAGTTTCACCGTGCGGCCCTCCGGAGCGCCCCATTGGCTGGATCAAACCCAAGCGAGCCTCTGATTGGCCAGCGCCACCGGAGGGCTCAATTCAAATGCGGGCGGGTGGGCCGGCTGCCCTGCAGTTACAGTCGTGTTCCCCGCGTCCGCGTCTTCGCCAGCGCCGCCCGGATGGCCTCCCAGAACCGCGACCCCGCCGCCGCCAGAGTCGCCGCCGCTCGCAAAGGAGCCGAGCCCAGCGGGGGCGCCGCCCGGGGCCCGGTGGGCAAGAGGTGAGGGTGCGGAGTGAGGCCCGGCCTCGCACGCCCTGGGCGGTGGGGCCCAGGCTTCCGGGACCCGGTCGCCCCGGAACGACTGAGATCTGGGAAGTTGGGGGCACGCTGAGAGCTCGGGCCGCCCTAAGAGAACCTCCCAAAGGAGGATAGAAATTTCGAGGTCTGGGCACGGGCAGAGACCCCAGAGCAGCAGTGGGGGTTCGAACACGCTAGAACAGCGCCGGAAGAGCCTGCAAGTGGGGAGAGCGAGGGCTCCCAGGGCCCTCCTGTGGGAGTGGGAGTGTGCCCCGGCGGAGCGGAGCCTCGGGAGGGGAGTCGTTGGCAGCTCTTCGGGAGAGATGGGGTGGGGGTGGGGGGGGGTGGACCAGCTGCGTCCTGGCCCATCCGGACTCCCAGCTGACTCCAAACGCTCTGTCTGCAGGTTACAGCAGGAGCTGATGACCCTCATGGTGAGTGGCCGCCTGCCCGGATCCCCAGCCAGTTGGTCCCCCTCCCACTTTGCACTCCTCCTTCAGTAGCTTCCTTTCCCACATCAGGCTCTTTGCTAGACACGGAGCAAAGGGGTAAAAAGATGAGTGCAGTTTGCTCCCTTCTGGGAACTAGTTCCTATACCTCCCCAACACCTTTTTCCCCAGTCCCTACCCAACCCCTAGCCCCACAATGAGAATGTCTCTAAAATAGGTTCCCTGAAGCCCTAAGGAGGCCTATCCCTATTTCCCTGCCCTCAACTTTAACCACGCCCAGCTCTCCACCCTTCTCAGAATTGCCAGTCCTCACCTTCTTGAAGATGCTTCCATCCTACGCCCTTTTTCTACATTAACCCTGAATATTCCACTCGGATCCTTCAGTGCCCATATTGTATGTCTGTCTCTCTAGTCCGAGTAGGCTTTGCACAAATAGAACTGGCACTCAATAGCAAGGTGAATGGTATTCTCGGCAACCAACAAGACTGTGTGCAGGGAACCCTCTGCTCCCCTGCATAACCCCTCCCTCCCTAGCCCGGCCCACTGTAATCCCCATACTCCTCCCCAGGGGGCATGTTCAGCCCCCAGAGTCTAAACACTCTCAGAAAAGGCTATCACTTTGGTCTGAGTGCCTTATTTTGGATCAGAACGTGATGGGATTCAGGGGTTCACCCATTGCTCCCAGAAGTGTTCTCCATATCCCGAGAGCTTTGTGTTTCCTCCCCAGACGTCTGGCGATAAAGGGATTTCTGCCTTCCCTGAATCAGACAACCTTTTCAAATGGGTGGGGACCATCCATGGAGCAGCGGGCACAGTAAGTGTGGGTTTGGAGAAGGGGAGAGTGATGGTGGGTCTGGGGAAAGGTGGGAGGTGAAATCATGTGCCACATCTGCTTCTAGCCTTTAGGCCTGCAGGTGGCACGCTCCTGCGCTCTGAGCCTTCAGTCCTGGTTCCCCCTTCTGTACAGCAAGATGGACAACCTTTAAAGCAAGGTTGTCCATCTTAGAGTCTTCAAGGGCCAGACAACAAGGAAAAGAAGGAAGGACAAGTGAGGACTTAGCCCAATGAGAGGGCACAAGTCAGCTTCCCGTGGCTGTTTATCTGTTTTAAGAGAAATCAAGACTTCAAATCTGTGCCCAAAATCTCCCAATTTTTACATGTTAGCAATTAATATTCTTTTTTTTATTTTATTAATATTTTTACAGAGAGGAAGGGAGAGGGATAGTTAGAAACATTGATGAGGGAGAATTATCGATCAGCCGCCTCCTGCAAACCCCCCCACCAGGGATGTGCCCACAACCATGGTACATGCCCTTGACCAGAATTGAACCCGGGACTCTTCAGTCCGCAGGCCGAAGGTCTATCCACTGAGCCAAACCGATTTTGGCAGCAACTAATATTATTGGACTAAAAAGCAAGCTGTGGCAACCCTCAGGGTACCAATTTACGACCCTTAGACCAAAGGACCCCTGATGTCCACCAGATGAGAGAAATTACCAGAACCAGTGTAAGAGTTTGTCTTCTGTCAAGTCCTAGAAAAATTAAAAGATCATAACAAGGTCCTTGTGTGGGGCTTGGGCTGAAATATGAGGTTCAGGGTGGCAAGCTTACTCCCGCCTTTCTCCAATGCCAGGTATACGAAGACTTGAGGTATAAACTCTCCCTAGAGTTCCCCAGTGGCTACCCGTACAACGCGCCCACGGTGAAGTTCCTCACACCCTGCTACCACCCCAACGTAGACACCCAGGGTAACATCTGCCTGGACATCCTAAAGGACAAGTGGTCGGCCCTGTATGACGTCAGGACCATCCTGCTCTCCATCCAGAGCCTGCTAGGAGGTGACTTCTAAGACTAGCCCTCCTCCCCGTGCCGCCCGGGAACCTGTCAGGACTCCCCCTTGACCAATCTTGTTCTCTACACTCACAGAACCCAACATCGACAGCCCGTTGAACACACACGCCGCAGAGCTCTGGAAAAACCCCACAGGTGGGTCCTTCCTCCACCACTGGGTGACCCTTCCCCAACCTTGAAAGTCTCCCTCAAACAAAAGGATCTCAGTGACTTGAGAAGCCGTTCCTACCTCTCCCTTGGTGTTTCTGGTTTGCCTCTTTGATATAAAATCAGAAAATTGATATGGGTTGAGGAACTTTTTTAAAAAAAAATTTTTATTACTCACCTAAGGATTTTTTTTTTTTTTTCATTGATTTTTCAGAGAGAGTGGAAAGGGGGTTGGGGATGAGGAGAGAGAAACACATCGATGTGAGAGAGAGACATAAATGGGTTGCCTCCTAATGGGCTGGGTATCAAGCCTGCAACCCAGGAACCTGAGACCCTTTGGTGCACAGGCCAAGGCTCTAACCACTGAGACTCTGGCCAGGGCAGTTGAGGGGCTTTATAAGTAGAAGGCAAAACTTCGTGCAAATGGCTTGCTCACTAAGGCCCCCTAGTCCCCTCCCCAGAGTCACAGGAAGCAAAGTCCATCCAGGAGATCTGACTGGGTGGACAGCAGAGAATTCTACCCCCTTTGCATTCCTGCTGCCCTTCTCCCTGTCACTCACCGAGATCTGTTCTCTCCCAGCCTTCAAGAAGTACCTACAAGAAAACTACGCAAAGCAGGTCTCCAGCCAAGAGCCCTGACCGGGGCTGCCAGCCTGTCTCCTTGTGCTGTCTTTTTACTGTTTTCCTTGATGGTCTGTCCTTGCCTTGATTTCTGTGTAGGACTCTTTATCTTCAGCTGTGGTGTTATATTTGTTTTGTGTCTTTGTTTTTTAAATTAAGTCTTTGGTTGAGCCCCTGTGATGAATATATTAAATAAATACATTTTGAATTTTTGGGTGGTTTTTTTTTGTGTGTGTGTGTGTTTGTTTTTTTACAAGTTTCTGCCTTGTAATTATCTTAGAGTTGGGGCAGAGTCAGGTTCCTAGAATTTGGGCTCATGGCCCTGCTTCTCTCTCCAGGGAGAAACATTTGTCCTTCAGGATGTATAGCCTTTGGGCCAACCAGTGGAGTGACTAGGATTTGTTCCCTTGTGACCTTAGTTTACAACTCTACATATATTTCCTCGTCTATGAAATGGGTGTCACAAAATACCTATATCTTTGGAGTTGTGACATGCACTAGGAATGTTAGACTATTGGGGCTGCCCTAGATGTGCTGCAAATGAGGCTGAACCAGTCTGGGGGTGGCGTGCAGACGACCAGCCACCTACCTACCTACCTTATGGCAGTAGATGCTCAGGCGCCCAAAAAAGAAGGCTTAAGTCACCCCGCAGCAAGCCCAGGATCTGCAGAGGCAGCCACAGCAAGCCCCTTCCCTGACAGCCAAGATACTCCAAGGGGGTTCTCTCCCCTCCAGCTACTCTGACCGGTGGCCCAGCCTCTCAGGCCCATAGCCAGCAAACTGGCTTATGAGCCACATGGGGTTCTTGGGCCCCTTGAGTGTGGCTCTTCCACAAAATGCCATGGCCTGGGAGAGTCTATTTTGAAGAAATGGCGTTAGAAGATGTTTAAGTTTAAAAAAAAAATTGCTCTCAAAAGAAATTTCAATCTTTGTGTTGTTGATATTTGGCTCTTGATTAATGAGTTTGCCGACCACTGCCTCAGGCCATCCTTCCACTGGCCTATGGACCCCTGGCCAGCTAGGACAGCAAAGGGAAGATCAAGAAGATAAACAGCCGAAACCGGTTTGGCTCTGATAGAGCATTGGTCTGCTGACTGACGGGTCCCAAGTTCAATTCTGGTCAAGGGCATGTACATTGGTTGCGGGCACATCTCTCTCATCAATGTTTCTAGCTCATCTATGAGATGGGTGTCTCCCTTCCTCTCTGTAAAAAATCAATAACATATTTAAAAAAAAAAAAAAAGGACTAATAGCATCCCCGGGCTCATCCTCTACCCAAACTGCGGTCAGCTCTGCCTGCAGCTGCTTGTGCAGGCCTGGGGGAGAGGATAGCAGGGGGCCCTTCTGGCAGTACAGTTTTCACCTGGAACTTGTTAGAAATAGCACCTTATTCCTGCTATCTCAGCCTCTTTTCTACCCTCTGACCCCCCCAAACCACATGTGAGAGTTGTCGGATCTGGTAGAACTTTGTGTCCTCGCTCAGTTTCCTTATCTCAAAAATTGTGCTCCCAGCTCTCTCTTTGGGACTTGGAGCTGTGCTTTCCAATCTAAAGTGCTTATATATGCAACTGGGATCTTGTTCAAGTGCAATTTTTTAAAATATATTTTTATTGATTTCAAAGGAGAGGATGAGAAACACAAATGATGAGAAAGAATCATTGACTGGCTGCCTCCTGCATGCCCCCTTCTGGGGATCAAGCCCACAACTCAGGGATGTGCCCATGACCAGGAATCACGTGGTGACCTCTTGAGCCATGCCTGGCTGGGCCAAATGAAAATTTTGGTTGAGTGGTCCAGTATAGGGCCTGAGCTTCTACATTTCTCATCAGCTCCCAGGTGCTGTCATTGCTGTGGTCTAGTTCTGAGTGTTCTCCAGGAGTCCTGGCAGCACAGTTACAATCTGGAATTTGTTAGAAATACAAATTCTCGGCCCCAACAATCTCTCCTGGTGATTCCAATGCTCTCCAACTTGAATATCACTGGGTTAGAGGATGTCTGAGAAGAGCAGAGCTCAGAACCTGGCGCTAATGCTGGTACAGGTGTATGTATTTTTTAAATTTTTTTGATCCTCACCTGAGAACTTGTTGAGAGAAAGAGAGAGAATTGTTTTTCAATTCTCAACCAGGGATTAAACCCGCAACCCAGGTATGTGCCCTAACCAGAATCAAACCAGAAAATTTTTGATGCTCAACCAACTGAGCCATTCAGCTGAGCTGGGTGGACATACTTTGCCTGCCTTGGGAAGCCTCCCCATCTGGTTCTTGATCACGGTGCTTGGTCCCCCAGATGGTCACGTGGCCTACCTTGCATCAGTCACAGGGACTCAGCTCTCCACTGTAGTTCAGAACCAATCAGTGTTCCCTGGAATTACCACTAGGAAAACGTGAAATTATTTTACCTATTAGGTTGCTAAAAGAGGAGGAGCCAGCCTGAGATGCTGGTGGAGACAGCTGCAGATGGAAGAAAACCGAGCAGAGACAAAGAGCTAAGAGAGGTGACATTGAGACTCATACCTTGGCATCTCAGTTACATGAACCAACAAATCCCTTCCTGGTGTAAATCGGTTTGATTTAGATTTTTTACACTTGCAACAAGAAGCCTCGTACACTTAGTACCGGTGTATTGACCTTTTGGCTCTTTAAGCAGCACCAGGGCAGTGGGCAAGAACAAGTGCCTTACAAAGGCAGCAAAATATTTGAACCAAGAAGAAAATGGCTGATTGATTTTCTAAGCAAGATTGGTATGAAGTGAAACACCTGCTATATTCAATACAAGAAATATTGGAAAAACACTAGTCAGGAGAATTCAAGGAACCAAAATCACATCCGATGGTCTCAAGGACCATGTTTTTGAAGTGAGCCTAACTGATCTACAGAATGATGAAGTTGCATTTTAAAAATTAAAGCTAATCACTAAGGATGTGCAGGACAAAAACTGACTAATTTCCATGGGGTGGATCTTACCTGTGACGAAATGTACTCCATGGTCAAGAAATGGCAGAGCATGATTGTCAAGATGTCAAGACTACTGATGGTTATTTGCTCCACCTATTCGGTATTGGTTTTACTAAAAAAATGCAACAATCATATTAGGAAGCCTCTTATAAGAACTCAGCATTAACAGGTCTGCCAAGTCCAGAAGATGCTGAAAATAATGACCTGAAAGGTGCAGCAGACAGATGACTTAAAAAAAAAAATTGGCCAATGAATTGATTCCAGACAATATTGGAAAAGACAGAAAAGCCTTGTCAGTCTATTTGTCCGTTACATGTCTTTGTTAGAAAAGTCAAAATGCTGAAGAAGCTCAAGTTTGAACTGGTAAAACTCATATTCATGGTGAAGTGAGCTGATGTATTTGAACCCCCAGTCAAAGAAGCTGTTTAAAATACAGATTTTTTTTTTTTATGATGACAAAATAAAAAATCCTGCCGAAACCGGTTTGGATAGAGCATCGGCCTGTGGACTGAAAGGTCCCAGGTTCAATTCCAGTCAAGGGCATGTACCTTGATTGTGGGCACATCCCCAGTAAGGGGTGTGCAAGAGGCAGCTGATCAACGTTTCTCTCTCAGTGTTTCTAACTCTCTATCCCTCTCTCTTCCTCTCTGAAAAAAAAATCAATAAAATATATTTTTTAGCTGAAACCGGTTTGGCTCAGTGGATAGAGCGTCGGCCTGCGGACTGAAAGGTCCAAGGTTCGATTCCAGTCAAGGGCATGTACATTGGCTGCAGGCACATCCTCAATGGGGGGTGTTCAGGAGGCAGCTGATGGATGTCTCTCTCTCATTGTTGTTTCTGGCTCTCTATCCCTCTCCCTTCCTCTCTCTAAAAAAATCAATAAAATATATTTTAAATATATATATATATATATATATATATATATATATATATATATATACTTTTTTTAATGGAGAAAATTAAATTATATGCCCCTGGGGCTGTGTGGATAAATGAGACAACGCCTGCGAGGCTCAGGGCACTGCATACAGTAGGCACCAGTCGTGATGATTATAACCCCCAGCACTGATCCTGAATGGAATAACTGGAAACATGAATGGGAGGTGAGAACACAAAGCAGTTGGAGAGGGAGGGTTGTAGCAATGAATAGCAGTGGAGTCCAATGTTTTAAAAAGGATGAGCCAGAGCATTAGAAATCTTTCTTCCTGGCAATTGTCATCAATTTGGCTCAAAAAAAAAAAAAAAAAAAAACCTCTAAAAAAAAAGATAATTATTAGTAATTATCATTACTAATAATGGTATTAGTAATAGTATTTATTAAATGCTGAAACTTGTGCCAGTACTTTGCACACATTAACTCGCTCTCACAACCCTATGAGGTAAGTACCACCATTATCCCCATTTTACAGGTTAGGACACTGAGGTACAGAGTGGTTGAATTTGTCTCGAGCAGTGAGGATTCAAACGCAGGTAACCTGACTAAAGCTAAGCTACCACTGCACTTGATTAGCTGTGCCCTGGCGCCTGGTATAATTGGGCTCAAGTACTATGGAAGCTAGCTCACGGCTAATGAGAGCAGGTAGCAGAGGAGGGGAGGATGGTATCTGAGCTGCGTCTTGGTATCTTGGAGTTGTTATCTGAACTGGGTTGAAGAATTTGCCAGACTGATTAGAGGAGGAAGAGCATTCCAAGGAAGGAAAATGGCATGTGCAAAGGCCCAAAGGCTTGAAAGTGCACCCCCTCTGTCCATAGCCGGAATGAGAAATGGGCCAGTGGAGCCCATGAAGGAAAAGGCAGTTGTGAGAAGCAAGGTAAGGAGGAGTGGGGGGAGGGGGAATTTGGATTTGATTCTAGAAACAATGGAGAGCCTTGAAGTCCTTTCAACAGGGGAGTGGCCAGGCCAGATTTCATTTTAGCTAGATCATGCTGAAGGCTCACTGTTGAACGCACTGGAGGGGCCAGAAAGCTGGGGGACCAGGCGAAGGCAGGGATCCAGGGTGGAGATGCAGGATGAGGGCAGAACCTCCCTCCTGGCTGAGTCCCCACCCTCCCCACCTTCCCCTACCATCACCAGCAGACCTGGAGGCGCTCAGAACAGACGAGGTGGAAAAGATCAAGCGGGAATAATGCTGCCTGGGACGGATGGACACCCACTCCCCCTCTCCAGCCCGGCAGCCTGCGCCCCAGAAAGGAGGGACAGTGGGGAGTGAGTGTCAACACTCCGCCCCGCCTCCAGGCCAGCCTCCTGCCCCGCCTTCACCCCACCCGCGGGCCGCGGCTCCTCCTGACTCAGATGGAAACCTCCGCGGCCTCCCCGCTGCGCCCGGGCAGCCCGCCCGCCCGGCGGCCCAGGCCCGGCGCCAGCGGCGGGCGGCCGGCCTCGAACTTGCAGCCGGGTGGCTCCAGGCACCCGCTTCTCGGTCCCCCCCGCCCCCGCACTCAGGCCACGCGCTTTGCAACGTTTGCTTTTATTCCTCCCAGAAGGGGATCCGAGGAGGGGCCGCGCCACGCTCTCGGGTGGGAATGACACCGGGTGGCGGAGCCCCTCCTACGTCCGGGGGCCGCGCGGTCCGGCGGAGGCGGCGCCGGCCTCTTACTGCACGCCCTCCATCATCTTCAGGAACTCTGCGGGGAGGGGACAGCGGTCAGGGCCCCGCGGGGCGCGGAGCCTGCGCCGGGTGCAGCGTCAGGCCACCCCGGGGGCACGGGGAGCCTGGGCGGGAAGTGATGCATTGCACGAAGCCGCGTGGCTCGGTGCCCGCCGCCCCCCCTGCTCCCGGGGCCTCACCGTCGAAGTCGATGCGGCCGTCGTTGTTCTTGTCGCCGTCCTTCATCAGGGACTCGATCTCCTCCTCCGTCACGTGCTCCCCGGAAGCCTTGAAGATCTCCGCCAGCTCCTCCGCGTCGATGTAGCCATCGGCGTTCCTGGGGGCGCAGGGGAGGGGCGGGCTCTGGGCCGGCAGCGCTGGCCCCCGCGGGGCGCCCCCTCCTCTACCCTCCTCCCCCCAGGACGTCCGCGTCCTGGGGCCCCACGCACCGGTCGAAGATGCGGAAGCACTCGGCCAGCTCCTCCTCGCTCTTGCCCTTCGCGTCCTCTTTCATCTGGCGCACCATCATCACCAAGAACTCCTCGAAGTCAATGGTGCCGCTGCCTGCGGGGAGCCGGCGGGGCGTGAGCCTGGGTGCTCGCCCCTCCCAGCACTCTGGCTCCCGGGCACCCTGGCGCCCCGCCTCGGGGAGCTCCGCGCTCACCATCCTCGTCCACCTCCTCGATGATGGCGTCCAGCTCCTCTTTGGTGGGCGTCTGGCCCAGCATCCTCATCACCGTGCCCAGCTCCTTGACGCTGATGTCCCCGCCGCCGTCAGCGTCGAACATGTCGAAGGCGGCCTTGAACTCTGCGGAGGGAAGGAAGGCAGAGGGCTGAAGTGAGCCAGCCCCGCATCTGCTACCCTCCCACCCGCGGGGGAAACCAGAGGTCCCCAGCACACACCACCCAGACAGACAGACAGGCAGACAGACAGGCAGGCAGGCAGGCAGGCAGACAGCCTGCCCACCCCACTCACCAGCGATCATCTCCTCGCTGAGGTAGGACCGGGCCTCAGCCTGCTGGTCAGTCTGCGGGAGACTCAGAGTCAGAGGGTGCAGTCCCTCCTTAACCCCCTCCTCCTCAACCCCCACCTCTGTTCGTGCCCCCTTGGTCCTCCAAGAGAAAAGCTCCAGACTCCTCCAAACACCCCTCCTTCCTGCTCCCACAGCCCCCAACTCCTTTTGGAGAGCTAGAGTGGAAACAGATTATGCCCAAGGCTTTCTCACTTGTCCATCAGAGGTCAAATCAGCAACCCCCAGCCCCTTAACCTTAGGCAAGTTACTAAATGTCCCCTCACCCCCTCACCTCTTCTCAAAAGCTTTGCAAGGATGAAATGGAGTCAGGGCTGTAAAGGACTTTATAGAATGGACACCATTCCAGCATGACTTCCCCATTTTCCCTAGCTCCTAAGAGTGCCCAGTACTTTAACAGGTGCTCAATAAATGTTCTCACTAAGTAACGCAGCACCAAGTTATTCAGCGTCTACTAAGTGTCAGACCATAGTCCAGGCACTGGGACAACCAAGCAGAGTCGGACACATCAATCCTCCCCTCCGGGGACCAGCAGAGACAGAGATTTTAAGCGTCCATGGTGTGATGCAGTCACAGAAGTAAATGACATTCATGTGGGGCAGAACATGATGGGGGCCTTGTGAGGGTGAAAATGATACTTTGAGGGGGTTTCTGATGACATCTAAGCCAAGGCATTTGCGTAGGGGCTTGGGGCTGCACCTGGTGGTGGGGATGGGCTGAAGCATCCAAGTTCTTCAGTTCCATGGGTGCTGGCCCTCCTCCTTGCTCCCTACCATGCTTCCCTCCATGCCCATGCCAGGAGGGCAGGCTAATTTTAGTCTGGCGAGGGCAACAGCAGCTGGCCTCCAGTGTTTAGTTACTCCTTGAAGTGCAGTGGGGAGGGGACCTCAGAGGAAGGTGATGGCTCCAAATCAGAACGCCCCTCCAGGAGGCTGAGGTCTCCCTAACTCTGGTCTGTCGCCTCTGCCCCTCCTCATCAATGTGGAGTTCTCGGGCTCCTGCACCTGAGCTGGCTCGAGGCCCGGCAGGGCTCCCATCTCCAGAGGAACCTTTCTTCTCTCACGGGCCATGGGAGGGCTTGGCCAGGCTTCCAGCAAGTCCCGGCCACCCATTTCCTGGGTGACTCACTCTGGCCCCGGGGGTCTCAGCTAAGGTAGACACAAGCTGAGACACACACACCCTCAGAGTTCTGTGACCAACATTGCCAGAAGTCTCAGAAGTTCTGCAGGGAATTGGCAAGCCTTGCGGATCCATGCCTACTACATCCCAGCCCTGCCCTTTGGAAAGAAGTCCAAGGCTTTCTTCCCAGGCCCCCTCCTGGGTTTTAGGAACCATCATGTTCCATCCTCAAATGCCCAAGTTCCTGCCCCACAGAGTACCCAGATTTGGCCTGAACGAGTGCCAGAAATGCTCCAGCAGCAAAGGGATGAAGTCCCTTCTTGTCCTTACCATGGTTGCTATTCACAGGGATGCCTCTTCTGCAGGCCTCTTCCTCTGCACTCCACCACCCAGAGATGCTCTGGCCTGCGCCAGCCCTGGGATTTGTAGGAGCACCCTCTCCTCCCACCTGCTTGCTCCCTGGGACTGGATGCCCTAGCCAATCAGATCCTGGGATCAGAGAGCTCCCCCTCCTTCCAGTGTCCTAGCCCATTACCTAATTTAGCCAAGGGCCCTTATGGAGAAATTGAAGCCTTGGAGCAGGTGGCAGGCCTTGATGTCCTAGATTCTTGTGAGGAGATCCCGCCCTGCTCCACTGTCTTAGCAACCTCTCTTCAAAACATACACTTGCTCCAAGATGGGTAAGGACCATCAGAATGGAAAAAGTGAGGGTCCATGTAGAATGGGGCAAGCACAGGCCTTGCAGTGCAAACCCCAGTGCCGCCCTGAACTTCAGCTTCCTTATCTGTGAGATAGGGATCGTCATAATCTCCTCAGCGAGGCTGTGGCATATGAGAGCCCGGGTATAAGTCACCCAGCTTGTGCCAGTTGCATAGGATTGGTAGTTGGCAAGAGCAATGTCCTGTCTTTGAACCATGGTCAGGGGCAGAGGGCAGGAGGTGAAGAAATGACTATCAGAGTTATTGAACCTCTCTGACATCCCACAGACTGTGCTAAGCATTTTAGCCATATGATCTCATCTAGTGCTCACTCACCCTATGAGGTGGCAACTATTATTATTCCTTCTTTATTGGGAAGCTTTGTAAATCATAAAGGACTGTAGTCATGTTGGTGATTCTTATTAATCTTGACTGAGGGGAAGTTGGGACAGACAGTCCTTGAGGATCCATCCAGGAGAAATGTCCGTAGGGGTCCAGGACACAGGGTGTGCACTTGGAGGAGAAATCAACATTGAAAGCAGATTCTTCTGTCAAGTTTACCTTCTGCAGGAAAAGGATTTTTGGGACTCACATTCTTGGGGAGGAAGGGGCCAGGGGACGGTTCTCTAAGTAGATGATGGGGTAGGTGGCCCCTTGCCAGAGCTCAGTGAAGAAGTCTAGAGGTGCTCAGCGGGCCGCCTGGAGAGTGAAGGGGTGGGTAGATCAGGTTAAGTCCCAAGGGATCCCTGCCTGAGAATCCACAGGGCCCAGGCTGGGGGTTGGCGGGTAGGCAATGCTCATGGTCAATGGCTAAGTCAACAGACAGAGCAGTGAGACAACCAAGTGCAGATTCTGGGGCCAGTGAAAGGGGGGCTGGACACCAAGGAAGGCAGATGGACAGCAGCAACTGGGCTGCCCTCTTCCCCTATATAGACATTCCTAAGGAAAGCTCAGCGGAGCCAGGCTAAATAAGGCCTCCCCCAGCCACGCAGGGGGCCAAGTTGCAACAACAACTAGGGATTCCAATTTGGACACAACCATTAGAACCAGGTGATCCCTTTGGATCAGAGGGTTTGGGGCTCTCAGCAATCATTTGTTCACTGATTTGCCCTTTCATTTATTCAGGGAAATAGATAAGGTCCAATCTCAGTGCAGCCAAGCCAGGTTCTACTTACCCCTGGTCAGACTAAAATACAGCTGCAAGCATCACCCTTCATAGCCGCCAGGCCTTCACACACTCTGTTTTTTCCTTCCAGGACTTCCCATCTTCCCTTTCTTCATCTGCCTAAATCCCTATCATCGTTCTCAGTTGTTGTTGTTTTTTTTTTTTGTTTGTTTTGTTTTCACATATTTTATTGATTTTTTACAGAGAGGAAGAGAGAGGGATAGAGAGTTAGAAACATCGATGAGAGAGAATCATTGGTCAGCTGCCTCTTGCACACCCCCTACTGGAGATGTGCCCGCAACCAAGGTACATGCCCTGACCGGAATCGAACCCTGGACTTTTTAGTCCACAGACCAACGCTCTATCCACTGAGCCAAACTGGTTTCGGCTAAAAAAAAATTTTTTAATACTCACCTAAGGATTTTTTTTTTCATTGATTTTTCAGAGAGAGTTGAAAGGGGAGTGGGGCAGGGAAAGAGAAACATCGATGTGAGAGAGAGACATAAATGGGTTGCCTCCTTTAGTGCACAGGCCAAGGCTCCAACCACTCAGACTCTGGCCAGGGAAAGTTGAGGAGCCTTATAAGTAGAAGGCAAAGCTTTGTGCAAATGGCGGATCAATTATTGTTATTTGAACTGGGTTGATTTCAGAAAAGGGAGAGGGTGAGAAACATCAATGATGAGAGAGAATCATTGATTGGCTGCCTCCTGCACACTCCCTTCTGGGGATCAAGCCCACAACTCAGGGACATGTGCTTGACCCGGAGGAATCAACTGGTGACCTCTTAAGCCAAGCCTGGCTGAGCCAAATGAAAATTTTGGTTGAGTTTATCTGGAGTAGGGCCTGAGCTTCTACATTTCTCATCAGCTCCCAGATGCTGTCATTGCTGTGGTCTAGTTCTGAGTGTAGGGCAGTGTTCTTCAGAAGTCCTGGCAGCACAGTTGTCACCTGGAATTAGTTACAAATACAAATGCTTGGCCCCAACAATCTCTCCTGGTGATTCCAATGCTCTCCAACTTGCACATCACTGGGTTAGAGGATGTCTGAGAAGAGCAGAGCTCAGAACCTGGCGCTAATGCTGATACAGGTGTATGTATTTTTTTTAATTTTTTGATCCGCACCTGAGAACTTGGAGAGAAAGATGAGAGAGAAAGAGAGAGAGAGAGAGAGAGAGAGAGAGAGAGAGAGAGAGAGAGAGCAGTATGTGCCTCAACCAGGGATTGAACTCGCAACCCAGGTATGTGCCCTAACCAGAATCAAACCAGAAAATTTTTGGCGCTCAACCAACTGAGCCATTCAGCTGAGCAGGGTGGACATACTTTGCCTGCCTTGAGAAGCCTCCCCATCTGGTTCTTGATCACGGTGCTCGGTCCCCCAGATGGTCACGTGGCCTACCTTCCATCAGTCACAGGGACTCAGCTCTCCACTGTAGTTCAGAACCAATCAATGTTCCCTGGAATTATCACTAGGAGAAAGTGAAATTATTTTACCTATTAGGTTGCTAAAAGAGGAGGAGCCAGCCTGAGATGCTGGTGGAGACAGCTGCAGATGGAAGAAAACCGAGCAGAGACAAAGAGCTAAGAGAGGTGACACTGAGACTCTAGCCTCCAGCTCATACCTTGGCATCTCAGTTACATGAACCAACAAATCCCTTCCTGATGTAAGTCGGTTTGTTTTAGATTTTTTACACTTGCAACAAGAAGCCTCGTACACTTAGAACCGGTGTATTGACCTTTTGACTCTTTAAGCAGCACCATGGCAGTGAGCAAGAACAAGTGCCTTACAAAGGCAGCAAGGAATTTGCAGCCCAGAAGGAAATGGCTGATTGATTTCTAAGCAAGACTGGTATGATGTGAAACACCCGCTATATTCAATATAAGAAATACTGGAAAAACACTAGTCAGGAGAATTCAAGGAACCAAAATCACATCCGATGGTCACAAGGGCCATGTTTTTGAAGTGAGCCTAGCTGATCTACAGAATGATGAAGTTGCATTTTAAAAATTGAAGCTAATTACTGAGGATGTGCAGGGCAAAAACTGCTTAATTTCCATGGGGTGGATCTTACCTGTGACAAAATGTGCTCCATGGTCAAGAAATGACAGAGCATGATTGAAGCCCTTGTTGATGTCAAGACTACTGATGGCTATTTGCTCCATCTATTCGGTATTGGTTTTACTAAAAAATGCAGCAATCATATTAGGAAGCCTCTTATAAGAGCTCAGCATTAACAGGCCTGCCAAGACCAGAAGATGCTGGAAATCATGATCCGAGAGGTGCAGACAAATGACTTAAAAGAAGTGGTCAATGAATTGATTCCAGACAATATTGGAAAAGACAGAAAAGCCTTGTCAATCTATTTGCCTGTTCCATGATGTCTTTGTTAGAAAAGTCAAAGTGTTGAAAAAGCCCAAGTTTGAACTGGTAAAACATATGGAGATTCATGGTGAAGCTAGCTGATTATTTGAAACCCCAGTCCAAGAAGCTGTTTAAAATTCAGAATTTTATGATGATAAAATAAAAAATCCTGTTTCATTTATTGGGAGTCAGCCGATCAATTATTGTTATCTGAACTGGGTTGAAGAATTTGCCAGATTTATTAGAGGAGGAAGAGCATTCCAAGGAAGGAAAACGGCATGTGCAAAGGCCCAAAGGCTTGAAAGTGCACCCCCTCTGTCCATAGCCAGAATGAGAAATGGCCCAGTGGAGCCCGCGAGGAAAAAGGCAGCTGTGAGAAGCAAGGGACGGAGGGGGGGAAGGAATTTGGATTTGATTCTAGAAACAATGGAGAGCCTTGAAGTCCTTTCAACAGGGGAGTGGCCAGGCCAGATTTCATTTTAGCTAGATCATGCTGAAGGCTCACTGTTGAACGCACTGGAGCGGCCAGAAAGCTAGGGGACCAGGCGAAGGCAGGGATCCAGGGTGGAGATGCAGGATGAGGGCAGAACCTCCCTCCTGGCTGAGTCCCCACCCTCCCCACTCTTCCCTACCATCACCAGCAGACCTGGAGGCGCTCAGAACAGACGAGGTGGAAAAGATCAAGCGGGAATAATGCTGCCTGGGATGGATGGACACCCACTCCCCCTCTCCCAGCCCGGCAGCCGGCGCCCCAGAAAGGAGAGAAGGTGGGGAGTGAGTGTCAACACTCCGCCCCGCCCCCAGGCCAGCCTCCTGCCCCGCCTTCACCCCACCCGCGGGCCGCGGCTCCTCCTGACTCAGATGGAAACCTCCGCGGCCTCCCCGCTGCGCCCGGGCAGCCAGCCCGCCCGGCGGCCCAGGCCCGGCGCCAGCGGCGGGCGGCCGGCCTCGAACTTGCAGCCGGGTGGCTCCAGGCACCCGCTTCTCGGTCTCCCCCGCCCCCGCACTCAGGCCACGCGCTTTGCAACGTTTGCTTTTATTCCTCCCAGAAGGGGATCCGAGGAGGGGCCGCGCCACGCTCTCGGGTGGGAATGACACCGGGTGGCGGAGCCCCTCCTACGTCCGGGGGCCGCGCGGTCCCGGCGGAGGCGGCGCCGGCCTCTTACTGCACGCCCTCCATCATCTTCAGGAACTCTGCGGGGAGGGGACAGCGGTCAGGGCCCCGCGGGGCGCGGAGCCTGCGCCGGGTGCAGCCTCAGGCCACCCCGGGGGCACGGGGAGCCTGGCGGGAAGTGATGCATTGCACGAAGCCGCGTGGCTCGGTGCCCTCCGCCCCCCTGCACCCGGGGCCTCACCGTCGAAGTCGATGCGGCCGTCGTTGTTCTTGTCGCCGTCCTTCATCAGGGACTCGATCTCCTCCTCCGTCACGTGCTCCCCGGACGACTTGAAGATCTCGGCCAGCTCCTCCGCGTCGATGTAGCCATCGGCGTTCCTGGGGGCGCAGGGGCGGGGCGGGCTCTGGGCCGGCGGGCGCTGGCCACGCGGGGCGCCCCCTCTCCCCTGTACCCGCCCCCCAGGCCCCCTGGCTCCCAGCCCCCCCCCCCACACACACCCCGTGCTGCGGACCCCCCACGCACCGGTCGAAGATGCGGAAGCACTCGGCCAGCTCCTCCTCGCTCTTGCCCTTCGCATCCTCTTTCATCTGGCGCACCATCATCACCAAGAACTCCTCGAAGTCGATGGTGCCGCTGCCTGCGGGGAGCCGGCGGGGCGTGAGCCTGGGTGCTCGCCCCTCCCAGCACTCTGGCTCCCGGGCACCCTGGCGCCCCGCCTCGGGGAGCTCCGCGCTCACCATCCTCGTCCACCTCCTCGATGATGGCATCCAGCTCCTCTTTGGTGGGCGTCTGGCCCAATATCTTCATCACCGTGCCCAGCTCCTTGACGCTGATGTCCCCGCCGCCATCAGCGTCGAACATGTCGAAGGCGGCCTTGAACTCTGCGGAGGGAAGGAAGGCAGAGGGCTGGAGTGAGCCAGCCCCGCATCTGCTACCCTCCCACCCGCAGGGGAAACCAGAGGTCCCCAGCTCACACCACCCCGACAGACAGACAGGCAGTCTGCCCACCCCCACTCACCAGCGATCATCTCCTCGCTGAGGTAGGACCGGGCCTCAGCCTGCTGGTCAGTCTGCGGGAGACACAGAGTCAGAGGGTGCAGTCCCACCTTAACCCCCTCCTCCTCAACCCCCACCTCTGTTCGTGCCCCCTTGGTCCTCCAAGAGAAAAGCTCCAGACTCCTCCAAACACCCCTCCGGCCTGCTCCCACAGCCCCCAACTCCTTTTGGAGAGCTAGAGTGGAAACAGATTATGCCCAAGGCTTTCTCACTTGTCCATCAGAGGTCAAATCAGCAACCCCCCAGCCCTGTAACCTTAGGCAAGTTACTTAATGTCCCCTCACCCCTTAGGCAAGTTACTTAAGGTTCTCCCTCCTCTCAACTGGTGGGTGGAGTTATGACATTACTGGCATCTGTCACAGAGACATCTCCAAGACACTGAGCCATCAATCAGCGCCTGCAAGTGTCCTGGAGCCCACCCCTTCCTGTTCTGCCCTGGGTCCAACCCTCTCCTGTTCCTCCCCTTAAAAAAGACCCCCAGACCAGCCACGTGCTGCTGATCCTCCATGTCCAGGTGGCAGCCCCGCTGGGTCCTTCCCCCCTCTCACCTTCAATTCTGATTTCTCTACCTCCATAATGAGTCCCGCTCATTACTGGGGAATAAACTTTATTTTAAAACTCCTTGGTGATCAGTTTCCTGCGCCTCAAATCTTACATCTTGGTGCCGAAACCCGAGGTTTTCAGAGGCTCTGAGTGCCTCTCTTCCTGCTCCACGTGTGCAGCTGGCCCACCCCAGGCAGCCGCTCCGGGAACATGCTGACAGGTTTCTGCCCAGGCCAGGACCAGCTGACCAAGCCTCCCGAGGACCACCGCTCCAGCCCGGGAACTCAGTTCCCCCCACCACAGCCAGACTACTTGGCGATCCTTCGTGGCATCACCTCTCCAGACTGAAGAGGACCCCGGAGCAGCATCACTTCTATAAGTGTGAGGTGTTGGGCCCCACGAAGGCCCGCCTTAGTCGCCCTCCCTCTCCTCCTCCTCCCAGCCCTGTGCAACCTCCGTGAAACCTATGACAAGGATGGCACATGCGTCACCCGGCAAGTAGGATCTCAGGACAGCCCTCTGCTCAGACACCAGGCAGAGATCCTGATTGCTGTCAACCTCCATGTCCAACAGTGGCCGACCATATGCCTGCTCTGCTTATGACCAGTGGAATCCAGACAGGTGTGATCAACATGTCAACACCTATGGGGGTTCCCGCTGGTCAGGTTGTGTCATCCATGATGCCTACAATGAGGTCAGGTCTGGCCCCTTTTTCTGGAAGGACGGGACCTGCAACATCAGGGTCCAGGACCCCTGGAACCAGCGATGGGTTACGGGCATTATGGGAAAACTGTATTGGAGTGGTTGGAGCTCGACCCCTTCAAGGACCATTTATATTTCCCGGGAGTATGTCACGGCCCAGGAGACCCAAATCCAGGTCTCCAAAAGCATCCTACAGGCTGAACTGTCCCTTAAAGGGAAGCTGCCTGATTCCCCCCTGGGTAGAAGTCCTGTCTTCTTGGCTCCAACTTATCCAGCACACTTTACTATTCCTTAATGAGACCTGCACCCTGCCCAATGTCTGGCACTGCTTTTTAGGTGTCTCTCTCCAAAGATCTTTGCTGGCTGCCATCACACTCATGACTCCTCCAGGAACCCAAGGACATGGTGAGTGTCAGCCTCCCCTGGCTGGCATTCCTCTCTGGAAACCCGAAACTCCAGAACCCAGCTTGCCCCCGCAGATATGCTACCAGACCAGCAACCCGGTAACTGGGGGACGGGTCACCTGGAACTGTACCCAAAGCCACACCGCAGCCAGTCCCACCAAGGCCAGCCCGGGCACCTTCTTTTGGTGCAACGGCACTGTAAGCAACTGCATAAACTCCTCTGACCCCGGGCCTGGCTTCATGGTCACAGTAGTTCCCCAACTAACATTGTATGGAGAGTCGGAGCTCACCTGGTTGCTCCCTTCATCCCACCCCCGGGCCCGCGTCCTCCCTGTCATGTTGGGGGTAAATATCGCTGCCTCGATAGGTCTAGCTGGGGGGTCGCTGTGTAACAGCATAATCCCTGTTCAGGATTTCAGTGACAAACTCCAGATAGCCCTGGAGTCTACCACTACCTCTTTAGCGTCCCTGCAGCGGCAAGTAACATCAGTAGCCCAAATACAGAACCCAAGGGCCCTAGGCCTTACTGCGGAAAGAGGAGGAACCTGCATGTTCCCTTCAAGAAGAATGATGCTACTACATCAACGAGTCCGGAGTGGTGAACAGAACGTGCAGACCCTGACTAAGCCGTGTGAAGAATTATGTGCAAGACACTCCCGGGACAACTCTCTTTTCGGCTGGCTCCAAAGCCCTTCAGCTACCTGGATCCTACGCCTGATAGGGCCCCTAATTCTCATCTGTGTCTTTTTTTCCCCTAGCTCCCTGCCTCCTCAAATTCATTAGCTCCCAGATCGCTGCAATGTCTCTGGTGACTGTAAACCAGCTCCTGCTCCATCCCTACACTCGGCTGCCCTCCAACCCTGCCTCCGCCTGACCTGGCCTCTGACACTGCCCACTCCCTTCGTCCCTGGTCAGCAAAGAAGCAGTTAGACGGTTTCGCCGCCCCCTATCACCAAGAGGCCGGGGAAGCAGAGGGGGAAGCCCAGAGCCGATGCATGTATCTGCAAAGCCCCTGAATCCTGCCCAAGCTTTCAATTTTTTTAAATATAGTCAAAGAGTCTGGAATATAAGGTTCTCCCTTCTCCCAACTGGTGAGTGGAGTTATGACATTACTGGCATCTGTCACAGAGACATCTCCAAGACACTGAGCCATCAATCAGCGCCTGCAAGTGTCCTGGAGCCCACCCCTTCCTGTTCTGCCTTGGGTCTAACCCTCTCCTGTTCCTCCCCTTAAAAAAGACCCCCAGACCAGCCACGTGCTGCTGATCCTCCATGTCCAGGTGGCAGCCCGACTGTGTCCATACCCCCTCTCACCTCCTTCAATTCTGATTTCTCTACCTCTGTAATGAGTCCCGCTCATTACTGGGGAATAAACTTTATTTTAAAACTCCTTGGTGATCAGTTTCCTGTGCCTCAAACCTTACAACCCTCTCACCTCTTCTCAAAAGCTTTGCAAGGATGAAATGGAGTCAGGGCTGTGAAAGGACTTTATAAAATGGACACCATTCCAGCATGACTTCCCCATTTTCCCTTTCCTAACAGTGCCCAGTACTTTATTTTATTTTATTTTTTATATTTTTTTATTAAATTATTATCTGTGTACATATTTTAACATTGCTCCCCCCATACATACTCTTCCTCCCCAGAGTTTTGTGTCCATTGGTTGTACTTATATGCATGTATACAAGTCCTTCGGTTGATCTCTTATCTCCCCCAGATCTCCCTACCCTTCTGGCTGTAATTTGACAGTCTGCTTGTTGCTTTACTGTCTTTATATCTGACTTTTGGTTCATCAGTTTATAATGTTCTTTAATATCCATAAATGAGTGAGGTCAGGTGGTATTTCTCTTTCATTGACTGGCTTATTTCACTCAGCATGATGTTCTCTAGTTCTATCCAGGTTGCTGCAAAGGATGAGAATTCCTTATTTTTTATGGCAGCATAATATTCCATTGTGTAGATGTACCTTAGTTTTTTTATCCAATCATCTGCTTACGTGTGCCCAGTACTTTAACAGGTGCTCAATAAATGTTCTCACTAAGTAACGCAGCACCAAGTTATTCAGCGTCTACTAAGTGTCAGACCATAGTCCAGGCACTGGGACCACCAAGCAGAGTCGGACACGTAAATCTAACCTCCGGGGACTAGCAGAGACAGAGATTTTAAGCGTCCGTCTGGTGTGGTGTGATGCAGTCACAGAAGTAAATGACATTCATGATGGGGGCCTTGTGAGGGTGAAAATGATACTTTGAGGGGGTTTCTGATGACATCTAAGCCAAGGCATTTGGGTAGGGGCTTAGGGCTGCACCTGGTGGTGGGGATCGGCTGAAGCGTCCAAGTTCTTCAGTTCCATGGGTGCTGGCCCTCCTCCTTGCTCCCTATCCTGTGTCCCTCCTTGCCCTTGCCAGGAGGGCAGGCTAATTTTAGTCTGGCGAGGGCAACAGCAGCTGGCCTCCAGTGTTTAGTTACTCCTTGAAGTGCAGTGGGGAGGGGACCTCAGAGGAAGGTGATGGCTCCAAATCAGAACGCCCCTCCAGGAGGCTGAGGTCTCCCTAACTCTGGTCTGTCGCCTCTGCCCCTCCTCATCAATATGGAGTTCTCGGGCTCCTGCACCTGAGCTGGCTCGAGGCCCGGCAGGGCTCCCATCTCCAGAGGAACCTTTCTTCTCTCACGGGCCATGGGAGGGCTTGACCAGGCTTCCAGCAAGTCCCGGCCACCCATTTCCTGGGTGACTCACTCTGGCCCCGGGGGTCTCAGCTAAGGTAGACACAAGCTGAGACACATACACCCTCAGAGTTCTGTGACTAACATTGCTGGAAGTCTCAGAAGTTCTGCAGGGATTCAGTAGACATTGGCAAGATCAATGTCTACTGAATCCCAGCCCTGTCCTTTGGAGAGAAGTCCAAGGCTTTCTTCCCAGGTTTCCTCCTGGGTTTTAGGAACCATCATGTTCCTTCCTCAAGTGTCCAAGTTCCTGCCCCACAGAGTACCCAGATTTGGCCTGAATGAGCGCCAGACACGCTCCAGTAAGCAAAGGAATGAAGTCCCTTCTTGTCCTTACCATGGTTGCTATTCACAGGGATGCCTCTGCCGCAGGCCACTTCCTCTGCACTCCACCACCCAGAGATGTTCTGCCTGTGCCAGCCCCTGGGATTAGGGTCATCCTCTCCTCCCACCTGCTTGCTCTCTGGGACTGGATGCCATAGCCAATCAGATCCTGGGATCAGAGAGCTCCCCCTCCTTCCAGTGTCCTAGCCCATTACCTAATTTAGCCAAGGGCCCTTATGGAGAAATTGAAGCCTCGGAGCAGGTGGCAGGCCTTGATGTCCTAGATTCTTGTGAGGAGATCCCGCCCTGCTCCACTGTCTTAGCAACCTCCCTGCAAGAGATACACTTGCTCCAAGATGGGTAAGGACCATCAGAATGGAGAAAAGTGAGGGTCCATGTAGAATGGGGCGAGCACAGGCCTTGCAGTCCAAACCCCAGTGCTGCCCTGAACTTCAGCTTCCTTATCTGTGAGATAGGGATCAGCATAATCTCCTCAGTGAGGCTGTGGCATATGAGAGCCCGGGTATAAGTCACCCGGCTTGTGCCAGTTGCATAGGATTGGTAGTTGGCAAGTGCAATGTCCTGTCTTTGAACCATGGTCAGGGGCAGAGGGCAGGAGGAGAGGAAGTGACAATCACAGTTATTGAACCTCTCCGACATCCCACAGACTGTGCTAAGCATGTTAGCCACATGATCTCATCTAGTGCTCACTCACCCTATGAGGTGGCAACTATTATTATTCCCTCTTTATTGGGGAGCTTTGTAAATTGTAAAGGACTGTAGTCATGTTGGTGATTCTTATTAATCTTGACTGAGGGGAAGTTGGGACAGACAGTCCTTGAGGATCCATCCAGGAGAAATGTCCGAAGGGGTCCAGGACACAGGGTGTGCACTTGGAGGAGAAATCAACATTGAAAGCAGATTCTTCTGTCAAGTTTACCTTCTGCAGGAAAAGGATTTTTGGGACTCACATTCTTGGGGAGGAAGGGGCCAGGGGACGGTTCTCTAAGTAGGTGATGGGGTAGGTGGTCCCTTGCCAGAGCTCAGTGAAGAAGTCTGGAGGTGCTCAGCGGGCCGCCTGGAGAGTGAAGGGGTGGGTAGATCAGGTTAAGTCCCAAGGGATCCCTGCCTGAGAATCCACAGGGCCCAGGTTGGGTGTTGGCGGGTAGGCAATGCTCATGGTCAATGGCTAAGTCAACAGACAGAGCAGTGAGACAACCAAGTGCAGATTCTGGGGCCAGTGAAAGGGGGGCTGGACACCAAGGAAGGCAGATGGACAGCAGCAACTGGGCTGCCCTCTTCCCCTATATATAGACATTCCTAAGGAAAGCTCAGCGAGCCCTGCCAGGCTAAATAAGGCCTCCCCCAGCCAAGCAGGGGGCCAAGTTGCAACAACAACTAGGGATTCCAATTTGGACACAACCATTAGAACCAGGTGATCCCTTTGGATCAGAGGGTTTGGGGCTCTCAGCAATCATTTGTTCACTGATTTGCCCTTTCATTTATTCAGGGAAATAGATGAGGTCCAATCTCAGTGCAGCCGAGCCAGGTCCTACTTACCCCTGGTCAGACTAAAATACAGCTGCAAGCATCACCCTTCATAGCCGCCAGGCCTTCACACACTCTGTTTTTTCCTTCCAGGACTTCCCATCTTCCCTTTCTTCATCTGCCTAAATCCCTATCATCGTTCTCAGTTTTGTTTTGTTTTCACATATTTTATTGATTTTTTTACAGAGAGGAAGAGAGAGGGATAGAGAGTTAGAAACATCAATGAGAGAGAATCATCGATCAGCTGCCTCTTGCACACCCCCTATTGGGGATGTGCCCGTAATCAAGGGACATGTCTTTGACCTGAATCGAACCCGGGATCTTTCAGTCCGCAGGCCAATGCTCTATCCACTGAGCCAAACCAGTTTCGGCCGTTCTTAGTTTTAACATCACTTTCTCCAGGACCACTTCTCCTCTACAACCAGGCTACGGTGGCTCCTCAGTCATAGCACTGCTCTGAGTTCCACCAGAGACGGTGTCCAGTTCACCATGGCATTTCCCAGCACCCAGCCCTTGTTCAAGGATACTTGAACTGAATGGCATCTGGTTCACTATAAGGAGGAAGTTCTTAAGAGTCATGGTTGAACAATAACAGGACGGGCAACCTCAGGAGGTAATGAGCTTCCTGTTACTGAATCTGTGCAAGCAGGAGTTTGATGACCTTCTCTCAGAGACTGTAGGAGGACATGCACACAGAGTCTAAGAACAGTGGAGGATACAGGACGTCCAGAGATCTCCTTGTTCTGGCCCTGTCTGCATGACCCAGGGTAAGCCTCACAGCCTCAGACTACTACCCATCTGGAAAATGAAAGTGCTGGTCCAGATTTCTGAGTGCCCTTCCGACAACCTATGGTTTTTGCTTTGTATCCAGATTTACAAGGCATATGCCAAAGTACAAGTTAAGATTTAGCCAACATTTGGCAAACACATGAGTGTTGAATAAATGAATGAATGAATGGACTGTGCTTTTTTGCCTCAGCACCCTGCTGGTAAGCTGAATGAAATCTACTATTACACCAACTTGGCTTTAAATCCAGCTCCTCTGTTTTTTAGCTGTGGACTTTGGGAAAGTCAATTTGCCTCAGTTTCTTTTATTTATTTATTTATCTATTTTTAAAATATATTTTATTGATTTTTTACAGAGAGGAAGGGAGAAACATCGATGACAGAGGAACATTGACCAGCTGCCTCCTGCACCCCCCCACCCCACCAGGGATGTGCCCGCAACCAATGTACATGCCCTTGACGGGAATCGAACCTGGGACTCTTCAGTCCACAGACCGATGCTCTATCCACTGAGCCAAACCGGTTTTGGCAGTTTCTTCATCTTTTAAAAAAATATTTTTTTCTCATTTATTTCAGAGATGAAGGGAGAGGGAGAGGGAGATAGAAACATTAACGGGGAGACAGAATCATTGATTGGCTGCCTCCTGCATACCCCTCATGGGGATGGAACCTGAAACCTGGGTTTGTGCCCTTACTGGGAATCAAACCGTGACCTCCTGGTTCATAGGTTAAAGCTCAACTATTGAGCCACGGAGGCTAGACGTCTTCATCTTGACAATGAAACAGTATTGTCCAGTAACAAAACAAAAAAACCCTCCCCAAGATGTTGGGAGGTGAGATGTGACCTCATGTAATGTGCCTAGAACAGGATGAATGACACAAAAGAACCTCAAGAAATGAGAGCCCTGCCCCTTCTGCATGCAGGGAGAGCAGGGAGTGTTTTCCACTCAAATCTGTTTCCCCGGACTCACTCTCCCGTGCCATTGAAAATGGATAGGGACTAATGCCTGGCTTTATTTGCTCCATTATATGACTAGCAATATCTGCCCTTTTAGGCCCTGTTAGGGGCTGAGCTCTGGGCCTCTGACAGGAAGCAACAATAAATTCTTCTGCCCTGTGGATAAAAGATAAAACAGCCCTCCAGCGGAATTGCTGACATCACCCTGCCTGCTTCAGGGGAAAAGAACAGGATTCGGCACCCAGGACACCTTCGCCGTAGAGCCCGGCACTCAAACCTCTTGGCCCTCTGTGTGACTGGGCAAGTCCTCCGGGTCTGTTTCCCCGTTTGCCTCCTTTCTATGTGTGAGGCACACATGAGATTGTAAACGACGTGAATGACGCCCAAACGATATCATGTAACTGATCGTTTCGAAGTCCCTACTCTGTGCCAGGCACTAGCCTTATAAGACCTGCAAAATCATTGTTCCTGTTTCATGTACGAGAAAGGCCAGGCTCAGCAAGGTCAGATGCCAATCCAGGCCGTGTGCCTGCTCTTGGCCTCAGTTACCTCGCAGGACAGATGGGCTCCCCGCTGTCAAATGACTTTGGAGAGTAAGAGTGCCGGATGGAAACGGGGGCTGGATCGGACCGGCCTGGGGCTCCGGGAAGGGTGGGAGGCCCAGGAGGAGGTGAGCCCGCGGGCCGGGGCGCACTCGGGCCTACCCAGGATCCCAGCCTCCCGGGGCGCAGGGCTCGGCATCCCAGCGGCTCCAGCCGGTGGCGGGCGGGCGGGCGGGGCAGGGGGCGGGGCGGGGCGGAGGCAGGAAGCGGCGGGGCGGAGCCCGGAGCAGCTGGGCCCCGCGGATACCCTCCTCCTCCCCTTCCTCCCCCCCCCACCCCCCCCCACCCCCGGCTCAGTGAGGCGCCCCAGGCGGCCCCGGGACCCGGGGAGCGGCGCGCCCCTGAGTGCACCGCGGGGCCCAGAAGGTAGAGGCGCACCAGGGGCGGGAGGCGCGGGGAGGCCCCGGTGCCCCCGGCGGCGCAGGAGCGGGGAGGGCGGCGGCAGCGGAGTCTTGGGGCTCCCTGGACCCCGACGGGCTGGGGCGGGTGCTGCGCGGCGCCCTCCTCCCGGGCCCGGGCCCGCCCCTCCGCGGGGCTGGCCGACTCCCGCCGCCGGCCCGGCCCGGGTCCCCGCAGGGTGCCATGGCCTCGCGGCTCCTGCTGCGGCTGCGGCACGCCCTGGCCAGCGAGGGCCCCGCGGAGGCGGCGGCCGGCCCCGAGGCCGAGCAGTTCCCGGAGAGCTCGGAGCTGGAGGACGACGACGCCGAGGGCCTGTCCTCCCGCCTCAGCGGCACCCTGAGCTTCACCAGCGCGGAGGACGACGAGGACGAGGACGAGGAGGACGACGAGGCGGCCGGCCCCAGCCCGCTGCCCCTCGGGGACCGGGCGTCGGGAGGAGAGGACGCAGGCAAGTGCGGAGCAGGCGGCGGGGACCCCGGAGCGCCACTGGGCCTCCACCCCATGGGAGCTCTGAGCTGATCCTGCCCAAACTCCGAGATGGCCACACTTGTTTAGGTGTCCCAGCCGCCACTCGGCTGTCACAACCCTCTCTGAGCCAAGTTTCCCCTCTCTGTGTCATATGGGGCAATCACCCCATCTCAAGCCTGTTGGGGCCTTCTGGGGATGTAGTCTGGGATAGAAATGGTCCTTAATGTGCTAGGGATGTTTTGGGGTGGAGATATTTACTTAGCGCCCACTCTCTGCCAAGCCCACTCTCTGCCAAGCGCGGTGTTCGGCATCCAGCTTCTCAGACCCTCCATTTCCATGGATGACAAATGGGGAGAAAGTGTTGTCACCTGTTGGGAGGAGCGAGGTCATAGCACATGGTGTAGGTCGACCCTGGCCCCAGGCCTACTGATAGGACTGGTCATGTGCTCCTGCAGAACAGAGCCCCTCACCCGACGGGCAGCGGAGCAGCCAGCTCCTGGCACGTCAGTTGCAGGATTTCTGGAAGAAGTCCCGGAATACCCTGGTGCCCCAGCGGCTGCTCTTCGAGGTGACCAGTGCCAACGTGGTCAAGGACCCTCCTTCCAAGTACGTGGTGAGTGCGGGTCCAGGAGCCCCTGGTTGTGAGTCTACAGATCTAAGACACAGGAGGGAAAATTCCAAGTTCCTTGGTGAGGACGAGCTGGCTGTGTAGTTGCACATGGCTGCCCCCATTTTACAGATGGAGAAACAGGGCAGAACGGGGATGTAACTTGAGCAAGTCCTCAGGCAAATGACAGCTTCTTTGACACAGTAAAAAAAGGATTGTGGGCCTGTCTCCTCTTCTGGTTTCGAAAATAAGAGAACCGGTGTATATGCCCCTACTCACACTCCCCCCCCCCCCAAGGTTTTGCAAAATGTAGCAAGATGCAGTACACAGGAAAGAATATTATCTGGATCAGGTTTGAGACCCAAGTGGCATTGGTTACTGTTTTTTTGTTTTGTTTTATTTTTTTTTAATGAGTTTTGGATGCAGAACTTGATTTAAATCCCAGTTGTTTGACCTTGGATGAGTTGTATAACTTTGATGATCTTTTCCTCATCTGAGTAATGGGAATAATGCAGAGAATTGTCACAGGAAGTAAATGGGACAGTGCACAGAAAGCCCTTAGCACTGTTCCTGGCATTATGAAATGCTCAAAAAAAAAAAGTGTAATAAAATAAAAAATTCGCTCCCATATTATTACACAGCTTTGGATTGAAAATGCCTGGCATCTGGGGCCTGCTGTGGCCTCCTTACAAGCCGGGTGAATCAGTTCTCGAGCGGCCATCCTGTATAGAATAATCTTGTAAAGGCTCCATTTAGGGGGGTTCAGTGAAGAGCAATGAGGGAGAGAACCTGGGAGTCCCTGTTTTCTTCTCTGAGGGAAGGAGAAACTGACATAGAAAGTGAGATCTGCCAGGCCTTCTCCTGCTGGCCTGAAACCTAGCCTGATCTGGCTGCAGCTCCCTTCCTCTCACTTCCCTCCTCCTCACCACCCTCCTCCATTTCTGACTCAGCAGGAAGGGGGCCTGGAGCCCTGTCCCACATCTGGACCTCTCCGCCCCTCTCTGCTGCTATTAGTAAACAAGGGCCACACCCATGGGGTGGCTGCTTCAATTTGAGCAGTGATTGGAAATCAAGTCTTAAGTGGCAAAAGTCCTGGCCAGGCTTCATGCATAGGAAGGGGACCCTAAAGATCAATTATCAAGGAGCAGCTGCGGAACAAGTTAGTATGAGGGTGACTCTGGGAGAAGAATGACAAGAGAGCAGGATGGCCAGGTGTGCCCTGGCCAGTGTCTGGGGAAACAAATCACCTCCTTTGTCCAGAGGGTACCCTAAATTCTGATGGAATTCTCCTGTGGGGTTAGAGCACAGACTTTGGAATTAGGTCAATCTGGTTTTAAATCCCAGCTGGGCCATTTCCCAGCTGTGTGACTCAGGGGATGTCTTTTATGTGTGTGTTTTTTTTTAAATATATTTTTATTGATTTCAGAGAGTAAGGGAGAGGGAGAGACAGAAACATCAATGATAAGAGACAAACATCAACCAGGGATCGAGCCTAAAACTCGGGCATGTGCCCCAACCAGGAATCAAACTGTGACCTCCTGGTTCATAGGTCCATGCCAAAAAATAAAAATCAAAGCCAAAGTAACATAAGGGATCATTATAGACCAGTTCTTACTGAAGTGTGTTCTACAGAAAATAGGTTTCCTTCCTTAGCTAGTTTGGCTCAGTGGATAGAGCAGACTGAAGGGTCCCAGGTTCCATTCTGGTCAAGGGCACGATGCAGGCTCCACATTCCTCGCCCTGGTTTCTATCTCTGTCTCTCCCCCACCCTCCCACTATCTCTGAAAATCAATGGCAAAATATCCTCAGGTAACAATTAACAAAAAAGAAAAGTTTCCTGGAATGTTAATAACTATTCCTTAAGAGAAAGATTTTGCAGTCAGTATGTTTTGGGAATGAAGAGTTGAAGAGTAAAATAAGGTTTTACTGTTTGACTTTTTAATCCTTAATGTTAAAGTACACTGAATCTCCAAGAAAAGGATAGAACAGACAAACCTAATCGACTAGAGGTGGCTATAATACAGGTAGTTTCACGGAACAAATTTAAACAAAACATCTGGGTTTGTTGTTAGTACGCCTTTAACATCTAAGGTTCGCTAATCCCCTTTTAAACTTGCTGGTTTAGCATTCTTATAGATTAATCCATGTTCGGGTTCTAAGACCTGGGGGAAGTCTTATGGTGATCTCCTTCAGTATCCCCCCCCCCCACCCCACTTCGATTCCAGTACCACCTTCACAATTCTTGTCCCATCTGAATGCTGCTTGTACCAATCTCTGTTTAACATTTTTCTTTAAATAAACCTTTTTCTTAAGTAAGTTTAAAAGACAACTTTATAACATACTGTATGTGGAAAGCCTCACTTGCCATAACAAGAAGATATCCGTAAAAATAAAAGCAGTAAAAAGTCATTAAACCCTGCCTGGATGCTGCTGCCTGAAGGCCCTGACCCAAGACCCATTTCCTGGTTCTTTTCTAACATTGGAGCTGAGACGAGTCCAAGTGCTCTCAATCTGCAGCCAGAGTCAAAGAGGACTAAGGGAGTCACCTCCTGCCTCAGATTCAGTGTTATTTACTCTAGCACATCCTCCGAAAAATCTCAGGACCAACCTTTGTCCACGCCCCACACCTGAGTAAACACTGACCTGGGCCAGCATGTCCTTCCCTAGAGAAGGAAGCCTGGGCTGATGTCACAGTGAGGAGAAGCTGGCCTGGGGTTAGAACATGAGTCTGAGCCCAGTGTGCTTTTCACGTGGGCATTCCTGGGGTGTCTGAAGCTCTAGGCACTGAAGTTCATTTTTGTCTTTCTCTCCCCGTGCTGCCTTGGGCCTGGGTCATTTCAGACGAGCCTCAGGTAAGATGGAGTGGGCTCCCCAGCTGCTGCCCCAGTAGCTCCCACCTTCCTGGGCCCACTCTTAAGGGTAAAGGGAAGAGGTGGGGCAACAGAGCTGGAAGTGTGGGGATGGGAAAGGAAGGGGCCCCTGGACAATTTGCATCTGCCCTGACCCCCACCCTCCCTGCAGCTCTACACCCTCGCCGTGATGGGGCCAGGGCCACCAGATCACCAGCCGGCCCACATCTCTCGCCGTTACTCAGACTTTGAGCGGTTGCACCGAAACCTGCAGCGGCAGTTCCGGGGCCCCATGGCTGCCATCTCCTTCCCCCGTAAGCGCCTGCGCCGGAATTTCACTGCAGAGACCATTGCCCGCCGCAGCCGAGCCTTCGAGCAGTTTTTGAGCCACCTGCAGGCAGTCCCCGAGCTGCGCCAGGCCCCAGACCTACAGGACTTCTTTGTACTGCCGGAGCTGCGGAGGGCACAGAGCCTCACCTGCACTGGCCTCTACCGCGAGGCTCTGGCGCTCTGGGCCAATGCCTGGCAGCTTCAGACCCAGCTGGGCACCCTCTCCAGCCCAGATCGCCCTCTGCTGACCCTGGCTGGGCTGGCTGTATGCCACCAGGAGCTGGAGGACCCTGGGGAGGCCCGGGCTTGCTGTGAGAGGGCCCTTCAGCTGCTGGGGGACAAGAGCCCCCATCCTTTGTTGGCACCCTTTCTGGAGGCCCATGTCCGGCTCTCCTGGCGCCTGGGCTTGGACAAACGCCAGTCAGAGGCACGGCTGCAGGTCCTGCAGGAGGCAGGCCTGACCCCCACACCACCCCCCAGTCTCAAAGAATTGCTCATCAAGGAGGTACTGGATTAGTCTTGCCTAGACTTAAGGTCACTCTAGGGGAGAGGCACTGCCCCAGGAAGGCCGCGGTGGGGGACCAATGAGGGATGAGGACCTGAAAAGCAGCTGGGAGGCTGTAGGGGGTGCTGGGAACCCCTAGGAGTAACACAAAGAATTTGTAGCAGACGGAGGAGGAAACGTGGCTCTTCCGCTGGGCTGGGCTCAGGGAAAGCTTTGGCGGGGGATGCCTGGGACCTGGGATGGTGCAGGGAGGAAGTCTGATGCACCCTCTTTGGCATATGCACAGCTGGGGGCTGTACCCCAGGCCAGGGCCGGTGTTCCCTGTTCCGTGGGCCTCCGAGCCCGTGAAGGAGCCCAAGTAAGGGCCAGGGACTTTTGGAGTTGATGGCTGGAGGGCGGGCTGCAGTCCTGGCCCAGGGAATTGAAGGCCAGCAGGTCCAGTGGTAGCAGTCTCTTTATTGGAGATGAGGGACAAAGCCCAGCCCTCCACTGTAATTCCTGCCTCGCCTCAGGAATGGGGGAGAAGGGAGATCCTCTGGCTACAGCTTGCTCTCTGTGACCTGGGGCTTCACTCGGAACACGCCCTCCTGGGCACAGGATATAGCCAGCACCCCGTCCCGACGCCACAGCTGCCCACGGACCAGCCCCCGGGAGCCACCTGTGGGTGAGAAGGATAAGAACAGCCTTCTCTCTCCTTTAGCACAGCCAAGCGGGCTTCTGAAGGGTGCAGTCCAGGCTGGGCTGCCCCTCACAAGGGCACACTGCGTGTTATGCCCCTTTAATGTGTTCAGTCATCAGGGGGTACCATGGGAACCCCACAAAACAGTTTAAATGCACTTTACCTGTTCTCGGGCTTCCTCAACAATTACAGAGGGGGAGTTCTGAGGATAGTCTCCGTCAGTAGCTTGGCTAAGCAGATCTACAGGACCTCTGGCCACTTGTGTTAGGAAACCCATCAGTTCCCCTTATAACAAATCTAACCAGTCCCACCAGGCTGGTATTATATGAAAAACACTCCCAGCCCCAAGGGGACAAAGACGCTCAAGGGAGAGGACCGGGGGCCATGAAGTCTGGCCACGCCTGCCTCCCCACCTGCAGATTTACGAAGGGAGCTGCCGGTCCCTTCCGTGTGGTGCAGCTCACTTAGTCCTCACAACAGCCAAGCAAAGCAGGGTTCGTCCCCTTTTCCGGATGATGAGCTTAAATTCAGAGGCTCAGGAACTTGGCCTTAAGGATCAGGCCAAAACCAAGTATCCCGACTTCATGGTGGTTGAACCTGTGCTGCGATGCTGCTGGTACTTTTTGTTTGTCTGTTTCTTTGTTTTGTTTACTTTTCTATGCCACTGGTACTTGAGAGCGCCCCTTCCCTGAGTATAAAGAGCCCCTTGAGTTTTGTCCCTGGTTTACAAAGCAGTTTTCATTTGGAAAGGACGTCCTTGGGAAGGAGTCCAGGGCTCTGACAGCAGACATGGATGGACGAGCCTGGGGTTCTCTCTGCCTCTGACGAGGAGTGTCCCAGCAGAGGGGCCTTTAGAGACTGTTGAGTGCCCTGAGCCACCGGGTTAATTGGCAGAATCACTTAGGGAGCTTCTTAAAAATATAGTTTCCTGGACCTCTTCCAAGACCTGCAGAGTCAGAATCTTAGATTCTGAAAACCTGTTTTTAAAAAGCTCCCTGAAGTGGCCACCAGCTTTGGCTACTACTCCACTAACACAACTCTGGTTATTTAAATGGGGAAACGGAGGCTCACAGGGGAGACAGGACTTGTCCAGGATCATACAGAGATTTTGAAATGTTTCTGGGACTAGAACTGGGGTCTCTGAGATAGAGTGGGTCATATTCCCAACATGTTACAGAAATTATAAGAGCTGATTATGAGTCCCATCCTCCAGCCTCACCCTTGGAAGATAAGGATGCCAAAGCCGACGGGGCAGGAGAGAAAGTGGCCTGTGCAGTGCCCCATAGAATGTGGGTGGGGAACAGCATGACCCAAGAAAGCAGGCTCCCTGCCACCCCAAGGCCAGTGCCCTTGTCCCATGTGACCCCACACTCACCAGCCCAGGGGCTCTCGCACTCATACAGCATCCAGTGGTCGGCTCGGAAGGGGGCGTGGAACCACATGGAGTGATCCAAGGAGACCATGAAGCGCACCGAGTGCTTACACTGGTGGGGCAGCAGTGCCGTGCTCAGGAAGGCAAAGTCCGAGATGTAGGCAGCCACGCAGCAGTGCATCTTGATGTCGCCCTCCCCTGCAATAGGTCCCGGCCCCATCAGTCCTGGGCTCCTGGCCTTTGCAGCTCAGGACCTGCAGGGAGGTGGGGGAGACAGGGGCTGCCATGCATAGATATGCAGGCTGTTCACTGCACGAGGGTATGTGGCCCAGGTGTATGTGATGGGGAGAGGGAGGCAGGGATGGGGCCCTCACTCCCCAGATCTCCCACACAGGCACCTTAAGATTAATAGTGTACCTGGAGAAGAATCTCAGCAAAGTGCCTGCCTTCCCCAGTCAGAAAGGGCCTGCATTAGGATTACAGCCACCTGCCATTCTCTCCAGGCAAAGGCCTAGTAGGGCCCCGATCACAAGATGAGCCAAATTCCCATCATGGGGATGAGGAAATAGAGGGGAAGTAACATGCCCAAGGCCACACAGAGCAAATACTATGCGGGCCTAGACCCCTGGAGAGTGTTCTCTTCCAGTCCAGGAGGTCCTCTTACCAATATAGCCCTTGGCTCGCACCCAGAACATCTGTTTGGGCTCCATGTTCTCCAACTGGCACAGGCTGGATGGGTTTACTAGCCTGATCTCAATGGGCACATTCCGGGCAGGAATCCGGTTCAGGACCACTCGGTACTTCTTTTGGAAGTTAGGGTCCCTGAAAGTAAAGGGTTGAGGGACTTGAGGAGACCCAGAGAGAGGGGAAGCCTATTCTGACTCCCCTCCTTCCTCCAGAGGGAGGGCAGACTTAGCCTGAAGGTCTCCCTCTCCTCTGGCAGGCAGGAGCATCAAGTATTTGAAGCCATTCTTTGCCTCCTATGAGCTATGTGGCCTTATGCAAGTAACCTCTCTGAGCCTATTTTCCCGTCTGTAAAATGTGGATAACGACAGTCACCTACCGGATAATAAACATCGTGGAGAAGATGAGATCATGCATGTAGTCATGAGGCACGCCCCCAATACGCACCATTATAAGCATTTCACCCACATTACCCCATTCCTCACAGCAACCACGTGAGACAGCTGCAGTTGTCACCCCCCAATGACCCATGAAGCAAGCACAGAGGCCAAGCAGCTTGCTCAGGAAGTAAAGGCAGACTTTGGACTCAGGCAGCCTGACTCGGTTCACACTCTTAACCACTTCACTATCCCAAGCACTCGGGGAGCCAGGCTGCCAATGGGACTGAGCTATCGAACCCTAAGCACAGTGTCCACAGGGAAAGAGCCGTTTCCAGGGAAGCCCCTTCACAGCAGCAGCCACCTTAGTGCACGCTAGGACTTCCATTTTCAGCTCCAGTCTCTCAAGCACTGTCCACAGAACCTTCAGGGATGATGGAATGTTCTGTATCCGCACTGTCCACGGTGGTGGCCACTAGCCACATGTGGCTACTGAGTGCTTGCAATGTGGTTAGCGTGGTTAATAGTGAGGAACGGAACTATTAATCCTACCTGATGTTTATTGATTTAATCCTATGTAGCTAGTGGCTTTCTTATTGGACAACACAGCTCTAGATTTAGGGACCTTTAAGAACATTACAGCAAACGTTTTTAAGCTCTGACCGTAGACCAGGCTCCAAGCTTATTCCTGTCAGTCAACTGTATAACTACAATTTACTGCACACTTAAATGCCTTATTTTATGACTGAGGGCACAGGCTCAGAGTGGGAAAGCAATGTGCCCAAACTCACACAGCTAGCAGAGGCCGTCTAGATTTGAACCAAGACCTTTCCCAGGTTCAAACTTACATCCGCCCCATCACACCTTGCTGCCTCCCCAGCCAGCACAAGACAGAGGCACTCTCCCTCAGGTAGCTGTGAAGTAGGCAGGCAGAAACACACATTTTTCATATGAAGAAGCAGAGCTCTGTGAGGCTGGGGAGAGTTGGGCAAAGTCACAGAGCAAATGGGCACTAACAGCCCACAGCCTTGGCCAAAAGCCATGTGTCTGTCCTGAGTCAGAGGCCCTGGCATTTTCCCAACTTTATCAACTGTGATCTAAGTAAGAAATATATTTTGCCAGGTGACATTTAAAATACTTACACACACTAAGGCAGAGGCAGCAGGAACCCTCACCCTGTCAGGCACTACCTCCTAGGCTGCCTGATCATGTGACCTTGAAGGGGGAGTCACTCAGGGACTAGGGAGGTGAGTATTTGCCAAGTAGTTAAAGAAGTAGTTCAATACTTTAACAACCAGTAAAACTATTGTACCTGAATTGGCTGAATCATAAGCCTGCATTTTACATCCTGACCCCACACACAACTGAAACTAACCTATCACAAAAGGACTCTTACTCTTACTATATACACAATACATTCCTGTATCATATTTTCTAGTCCATATTTTTAAATAGTCAAGGCGCGCTAAAGGATTCCATGACCCAGGAACAGGAAGCATCTGCAGTCTGAACACTGACTCGAGCCTCCTGGTCTCTCACCGTAAGCACTGGTCAATGAGGGTCTCATAGTCAGGCAGCTCTTCCGGCGGGGGCACAGTGGGCATGGAGAACTGGTGCTGTAGGGGGCTGGGCTGGGTCTGCTGGAAGGAGGCCTGGCAGATGAAGATGGGCCTGCCATGCTGCACAGCCTTCACTGATCGCACCGAGAAGCTCGCCCCTGTTCGCGTCCGCTCCACCTGGTACAAAACAGGCACCTTCGGGTCCCCTGTGGGGGGCACAGGGACATGGTAAACCTGAGTGAACCCCACAGGCCCTGTCATCATCACCATGGCTGGAGAGGCACCTCTGCTACTCGTTCTTCATTCCTCTTCTGCTTGGTAGCTACTGAGTGAGGCCTGCTAAGGCCCACGTACTGCAGATACAGAGAACACCAGACCCTGTCATAAGGATGCTCCCAGTACAGGTGGAACTCTTTTTTCTCAATAGCACAGAACAGAAGAGACATTGCCAGATAACCTGCATTCAAATCCTAGCTAATTAGCTGTGTGATCGTGGCAAAGACACTTAACCTCTCTGAGCAGTTTGCCCATCTATAAAATGAGAATCATCATGGTATTCATACCTCTCAGGATTTTTATGAGAATGAGGTCATAATTGTAAAGTGGTTAGAATAATATCTGGCACACAGTAAGGATTACAATATCAAAAGCCTAGCACTTTGGCCCTAACAGGTTTGGCTCAGTGGAGAGAGAGTCGGCCTGGAAGGTCCCAGGTTTGATTCCAGTCAAGGGCATGTACCTTGGTTGCAGGCACATCCCCAGTAAGGGGTATGCAGGAGGCAGCTGATCGATGTTTCTAACTCTCTGCCCCTCTCCCTTCCTCTGTGTAAAAAAAAAAAAAAAAAAGAAAAGAAAAAAAAAAGACTATCACTTTGGAGTTTGCAACCAAATTGAAGAAAGAGGACACATTTGCTCCCAATTGGCTTAAAGGTAAGAATGCAGGGTAAGTATTCAAATACTTTATAGCAATCACTTTCAGGAAGGGTCCAGCAATAAAAGGATAAAAGTGAGGGGAATGGAGATGTAATGTGAAAAAATGATGGCGAATTACCATAGTACTGAAACTAAACCCATTGTCTCTGGATTCCCAGACTGGTGCTCTTTCTACACTAATTACTATCTACACTAATAAAAGAGAAATATGCAAATTGACCAAAACTCCATGACACCCACCAGCCAATCAGGAGTGGGTATGCAAACTAAACCAACAAAGCTTGTGGGTTAATTTGCATATGCAGGCAGAGCGAAGACTGAAGGGCTTGGCCCACTGCGGCTGGAGCGGAGAAGCCTTGAGCCTTGGCTTCTCCACTGCAGCCAGAGCCAAGAAGCCAAGCTTCAGGGCTTGGCTTTTCCTCTGCAGCCAAGCAGAGAAACCTAGCCTCGAGGCTTGGCTTCTCCGCTGCGGCCAGAGCAAAGGCCCGAGTCCCTGGTGCCGGAGGAAAATTGTTGCTGGCAGCAGGGGAAGGAAGGCCTATTACACGAATCTTCGTGCAATGGGCCTCTAGTATTTTATATTTATAAAAGGAATGGGAAAACCCCACTATTGTTTTCTTAACATGAATCACATATTGTTAAGTTCCATACATTCTTCTCAGCTGATGGGACTATGCAGAAAACCGTGTGACTCTTAAAATTGGGACCCCTGCCTTAGGAATGAGGGAAAGGGAGGGATAGCAAGTGGGATTTTTGTTTCTCAAAGGAAACCCTGGGTTGTAAAAGATTACTTTTTTTTTTCTTTTTCTTCTTTTTTCTTTTTTTTTTTTTTTTTTTACAGAGAGGAAGGGAGAGAGATAGAGAGCTAGAAACATCAATGAGAAACATTGATCAGCCGCCTTCTGCACACCCCCCACTGGAGATGTGCCCGAAACCAAGGTACATGCCCTTGACCGGAATCGAACTGGGACCCTTCAGTCCACAGACCAAACCGGTTTCGGTAAAGATTACTTTCTTGCTCCTTTAAGCTACACTTAAAGAAGCTGTAGAGATCATCTGGAGAAGACACTTGGTCCCGCCCTCATCCATTTTTCTGAGGAGATGAGCAAACCAAGCCTCAGGGAGAGGGTGACCTCGCTCAAGGTGGCATGATGGCGAATTACCATAGTACTGAAACTAAACCCATTGTCTCTGGATTCCCAGACTGGTGCTCTTTCTTCTCCAAGGCAAGGTGCCTATCTCCACACTCCAAGCAGAGGTTAGGCACAGCTTTGAGGATTCCAGCATAGTACTTAGCTACAGGTGTGTAAACAATGAACAAAAGACCTACAGGGAGTAGTTAAGCCAGTCTCGTGTCTTTTGGAGCCAGATAACAAGCAGTGGCTCCACCCAGGCCTTGTTCCTCTCCAGGCTTCCCTGTGGGTGGAGATCAACTAACTCCCTCTCCCAGTCTCCTCCCAGTCCTCTCTCTCTCTAAGTCAGTCCCCGAAGGCCAGGAAGAAGTGGCTGCTGGGCCTCCAGGGCTGGGTAGGGGGCAGGGAGGGGTGCATACTTACCTGCCCGGACGAAATAGCAGTGCAGGGAATGCACTTGAACGTCTTCACTCACAGACTTGGCTGCGGCCACCAGGGCCTGCCCTATGATCTGACCCCCAAACAGCCGCTTGGTGGTGGGTATCCAGTAATGCCTTCCTCTGTGGGGAGAAAGAGATAGCAGGATAGACTTAAAGGTTGGGCCAAATCCGGTGACAATCATTGAGCTTTTAGTGCAGATCTCAACTTTATTGGACTTTGGGACCTTTTGAGAATATGGTAAAAGCCCTGGACCCTTTCCCCAAATTTCTTATATCATTCTACAATGACAGCATACATCATCAAGGCCTTAGAGATTGCCTAACCCTTCTGTGGACTTTAAGATAAGGAACCAACCCCCATATTTTAGTAGAGAATGGGGATCAGAGCGGGAAGGTGACCCTAGCAAGGTAACCCAGGTAAACATTGCTAACCCTTAGAAGTAGTTGGGTCTTTTGACCCCAAGTCTAGTATTTCTTCACTGCCCCATACCAGGGTAAGGCAGAAGCTTCTGAAGGCCTTGGGACTTCAAGCGCCCCAAGAGCTAGAGTGGACTGCATCAAGGTCTGCCACTTATATCCCTCAACTTTGACAACCCAAGAACTAGGTTTAGAGCTCAAAAGGCCCTCTGATTTCCATGTAATCCCTTCAGTGTGCAGATGAGAAAACTAGGGGCCCAGAGGTGAAAAGGACTTGCCGAGTGCATGAACCTTATGGAGGCTAAAGGATTTGGGTCACTGGCTTTCCAAGGCCCAAAACAGTTAGGCATTTTTACACGGTGCATTGTAAATAGCCCTCCAGGAAGTTATTTGTGATTTCTCAAGGAGGGGGAAGAGAAGTCAAGACCCTAAAGAGCTCCCAATAAACTAGTAGGAGCCTTGGAGGCTCAAACTGTAAAACCCTCAGCTGCAGTCAAGAGTTTAATCCGGTTTGGCTCAGTGGATAGTGTCCGCCTGCAAGAGGCAGCTGATCGATGATTCTCTCTCATTGATGTTTCTAACTCTCTATCCCTCCCTCTTTCCTCTTTTTAAAAGAGTTTAAAGGGTGTGGGGAAAGAAAATAGCTCAGACCTCAGGATGAGTATGGCGCTATCACACCTCAGGTGGTGGTGGGATGGGTTTGTAAGAGGGAAAGGATAATGAATATGCAAGGAGCTGAGGGTACGTTTTAAACCAGATTAGCCCTTGGATTAATCGCAGCCCTTTTTCGACTGGTTCCCAGAGCCATGGGAAGCTGCTGAGAAGGCTATCTCAGGTCACCACTTTATTAGCCCCGACGACCAGGGACCCCTAGGGGAGGGGCTGCGCAAACCCGGCGCGGAAAGGAAGTAAGCCTAAGGCAGCGAGGACAGCTGTCAGGAACAAGTTCTCTCCCAAAGGCCACAGAGCCTGCATCCCACACGTAGCCCATCTTCTTCCAGGAGACCATGAGCAGAAGGCTACAGGGTGGCGGCGGTCGAGATCGGGTGCGTCTGTCCCAATGCGGGGTGCGGGCCAGATGCGGCAGACTACCTGAAGAGATCTTCGTCCAGCGGCTCGAGGTTGAGCACGCTGGTGACCAGGACGCTGCGAAGGTCCCCGGGGGGGTCGCCACCGCTTTGTCCATCCTCCGGGGCCTTCGGGGACGACATGTGGATCACTTGCCGGAGCCTCTGCGCTGAACCCGACGCGCGCGGACACCTATACCCAGCTCGCAGACTCCCGCAGATTCCCTCAGATGGATTGCTCTAAGAGCCGGAAGTCTGCCAGCCCCGAAAAGAAGGGATGCAAATTATGATTGGACGATGCTCCTGTCAGCCTGCGGGTGCATGGCTCTCTTCCTCTGCCTATTGGACAACATGAGTGCCAGTCTGGGACTCCGTGTGTGATTGGAGGGGCGGGTCCCAGGGACTTGGTAAAGAGATAGGAGCGTCATTTCCCCTCTTGTCTGATAGCAGAGACGACCCCAGCCTCTTTTACCGCCTCAGACCTAGGGCTCCTCCGGAGCTTCAGTGCCGGCCACCCAAGTGGGGCCGGGCTCGAAGGCGTTCTGGACCGACGGCAGCCTGTAGGCCCTCACAGTGTGACCTCTGACCCCTGGTATTGATTGTAGGGCCAAACCCTGGCGTGGGCTGAGGGGGCAGCCATGGAGCTGGGCAGCTGCTTCAAGACCTACGAGGATTTCAGGAAGTGCTTCCGCCTCTACAAAAAGGAGAACAGTTGCTCCTTCATTCTCAGGGACCGCGTCTCCGTCCGCTGCCACAACCTCAACCACGGCACCTCCGTCCGCGAGGACATCCTGTAAGGGCGGGGTGGGGGAGGGGCCGGCGGGCGGGGAGGAGGCCGCACCGTCACGTGGAGGGCGACCCGGAGGAGGGAGTGCCCCGGGGCCCTGGTTTCTCTGAGCTTTCCACGCTAAGCAGTCATTAAGCACCTGCTGGATGCCTGGTGAAGAGAGAGCAAAGCCTCCTCCCCAGGCATTCGTTTTTGACCACCCCACCCCACCCCACTTCAGCTTCACTCTCTCACACCTACACTCACCCTTCTGTGGAATCCATAGTAACTGCCATCTGCCCCCTTTTCTGAGCGCCCGCAGTATCCCAGACACAACACACGGCCTTCACAAACGGATACAAGTGCCTTGGCGATCGTTTCCCTTCATCGGCCTCCTCTTTACAAAGCCGTGATGTGGTCACTTGTGGCTTAGTTCTGTGGGTTCGTTGGTTCATTCACTGGTTCATTCATTCATTCGGTTTTGAGATAGTTCTTGAGCTCCTGTGAGGAACATCCGTTTTTCAAACACTCTCAGTGTCACATGGTAAGCAGCATTCCCTGGTCTGTACATTCTTTACCCCGTGTACGGAGAATTATAGATAAATGTTGTCTCTCCAATTCAGTAGATGAAACAATGCAGAAAGCTTACTTTTAATTTTACTATAAGAAAAAAGGATGGTGAAATTAACATCCAGCACCAGGTCTTCGTGCTGGGAACAACAAGTGTGAATGGGGTAACATGGAGAGCAGGACCTATCTAATCAACGCCAGCTCATGGCTGCCGTGTGAAAATAAAGTTCCCTTATTGCCAGAATTTGGGGCAAGACAAGTTAAATGAAAGTACATCTGAGGCCTCTGTTTGAGATGTTTGGCCAAAGTTCCCATCTACTGTGTTTCCCCGAAAATAAGACCTCCTCCGAAAATAAGACCTAGCGCATGGAAAAATAATACATCCCCTGAAAATAAGACCTAGCGCATCTTTGGGAGCAAAAATTAATATAAGACACTGTCTTATTTTCGGGGAAACAGGGTAGGAAGGCGTGTAGTTTTCCTGCTGTGAAGCCCTGTCAGTGCTGTGCTGGGTACAGACAACAGAGATGAATAAGGAACCAGCCTACCCTCAAAAAGCTGAAGGTGGGATAGCCTTGGACTGTGTGGCTCATTAGTTGAGTGTTGTCCTGTGCACTGAAAGGTTTGTCTGTTCAATTCCTGGACGGGTCACATGTTTAGGTTGCAAGTCTGGTGCCTACAGGAGTCAGGGAGGCAGCCAATTGATGTTTCTTGTTCACGTTAATGTTTCTCTCCCCTCTCCCTTCCTCTCTGAAATCACTAAACACATATTTGGAGGGAGCTTAAGATGGGATAGAGTTGGACTCCAGTAAACTGACTAGTATGTGATAAATGTTTAAAAGAGATGTACAGTCCATCTGGCATGGCTCAGTGGTCGACCATCGACCTATGAACTAGCAGGTCACGGTTCGCTTCCCAGACAGGGCATGTGCCTGAGTTGCCAGCTCTATCCCCAGTGTGGGGCGTGCAGGAGGCAGCTGATCAATGATTCTCATCATTGATGTTTCTATCTCCCCCTTCCTCTCTGAAATATATATATATTACTTGGGAGAGGAAAATAATAAGAGAACCTATAACAAAAATCACCCCTACCTTTAGGTGATTTTGAAGATAGGGGTGAGCCAAGGTAGGAAGTCTGAATTTGGTATGGTTACAGCCAAGAAAAATGGGAATTGGAAGAAAAGAGGGGGCATGTTGGAGCAGGGAGTAAGGCAGGATTTCAAGAAACTAGTATCTATAAGAAAGCACCTAGGTGTTAGGACTGACGGTCTGACGGTCGGGCACAGCATGGTTATTGCCAGAGCTCTTAACTGCCTTACTTAACCAATGGGTTGTAACAGGTTTGTATCCCACTTGTTTATTAATTTATTCAACAGTCTTCTAATAAGAGGTAAAATGTGGCTGAAACTGGTTTGGCTCAGTTGGCCTGCGGACTGAAAGGTCAAGGGCATGTACCTTGGTTGCGGGCGCATCCCTGGTAGGAGATGTTTCTCTCTCATCGATATTTCTAACTCTCTATCCCTTTGTCTTTCACTCTGTAAAAAATCAATAAAATATATTAAAAGAAAAAAGAGGTAAAATGTTTACCCACAGGTGTCGAGCTGGGATACGAAGATGGGTAAATTGTGGTCTCTAACCTTGAGGACAGTAGTGGACGGAGCTAGTTTACAAGGAAGTGAATTAGTGAGCAGCCCTAGCCTTTAGAAGACACAGATCCACTGTTTGCTGGGATGTTGTAAAGAAGAGTCTTGTACACTGTGTTGGGCTTTTAGAATGGTATATGGATGTGTGGAATGAACATTTCTAATGTGGAACTGCCAGGAAGGCGGAGGAAATTTTTTTTTTCTTTTTTTTTTTTTTTCTGGGTGAACAGTTCTTTTAAGTCCCAGTGGAGGAAATTTTTTAGGAGATAATTTAGCAGAGTGCAATGTTTCTCGAAACCAGATACACATATTACTAGTGGACCGATGAGATTATTTTATAGTAACTGTAATGTTAGACCCAAACATAAAGATCCTATTAAACAGAGTAAAGTGAGCTGATTTTAAAAAGCCAGTTGAAAATAAGAATGTAAATGTTACAAGGGGTGGTCATGGCAGATGTAAAAAGTGGTTTGTGATTCCTGGAAGTTTAGGGAAAGCTGGAAAAATATTAAGAGTGAGAGCTCTGGAATCTGAGCTTCACTCCTTTACCTTGAGCAAAATTTTTTTGCGACATGGTGAATTCCTTTGTAAAATGAGGAGGGTATAGTAGAAATTAAATAAGAAAATACATGTAATCCTAACCGGTTTGGCTCAGTGGATAGAGTGTCGGCCTACAGATTGAAGGGTCCCAGGTTTGAGTCCAGTCAAGGGCATGTACCTTGTTTATGGGCACATCCTCGGTAGAGGGTGTGCAGGAGGCAGCTGATCAGTGTTTCTCATTGATGTTTCTACCTATCTCTCTCCCTCTCTGTAAAAAAATCAATAATTATATATATATATATATTTATTTATTTATTTATTTTTTTATTTTTTTTTTTTAAGGAAGCAAATACACGTAGCCCAGCCAGTGTGGCTCAGTGGTTGAGTGTTGACCCATGAACCAATAGGTCTCTCAGGCAGCCACGTGCAGATCTGGTCAGGACACATGCCCAGATTGCTGGCTCAATCCCCAGTAGGGGACACGCAGGAGGCATCCGATCAATGTTTCTTTTTGATGTTTCTATCTCTCTCAAAATAAATTAAAACAGCCGAAACCAGTTTGGCTCAGTGGATAGAGCGTCGGCCTGCGGACTGAAAGGTCCCGGGTTTGATTTCAGTCAAGGGCATGTACCTTGGTTACAGGCACATCCCCAGTAGGAGGTGTGCAGGATGCAGGATGCATGTTTCTCTCTCATCGATGTTTCTAACTCTCTAGCCCTCTCCCTTCTCCTCTCTGTAAAAAAATCAATAAAATATATATTTTAAATAAATAAGAAAAATAAATAAAAACATTAGAAAGAAGAAAAGCCCTAGTTGTTTTGGCTCAATGAATAGAGTGTCGACCTTCAGACTTAAGGGTTCCAGGTTTGATTCTGGTCAAGGGCACATGCCTGGGTTGAGGGCTTAATCCCCTCTAGGAGGCAACCAATCAATGATTCTCTCATCATTGATGTTTCTCTCTCCCTTTCTCCCTGCAATAATATATATAATATAACATATAAAAGAAAATACATGTAGTGGCTGAAACATAGGCTAAGTAAATATTTGCCAAAGATGTAACTGATAGTACCTGGTAGAAAGTGGTAGATATTTTAAGAGACCCAAAGAAATGTACTGTGGGAGTTATCACTAAATGGCCAAAAGTGCCAGTGACAGGGTAGATTCTATAGTTTTATACACAGTTTCCCATCCCGTATTTATGTATGTAAAAGCCTAAGCGATCATTAAGACCAAATGACGGGTTGACTGATCTCTATGACGTGCACTGACCACCAGGGGGCAGACACTCAATGCAGGAGTTGCCCCCTGGTGGTCTGTGTGTTCCCACAGCCAACTTCCCGTAGCCAGCCAGCCTCCCGGGTCCCTTCCCCCAGCCGGCTAGCCCCAATTGTCCCCAGTGGCCAGCCAGGCTGAGGAGCCCCACCCGTGCATGAATTTGTGCACCGGGCCTCTAGTTTTTATATATGGCTCTTGGGGGCTTTTTGTTGTCTTTATGGGGGTTGGTATTCTTCAAACAATCCATGAAATATTCTGATGTCTGTCTTCATTGCCCTTCAGTTTAATAGTATCCCTCCCTGCCCCCCCCCACCTTTGTTTAAGGAAAGTCAGCAGATTCCTTTATTGTTCTGGAAGGAGGGGGAGCTCAGAGCCCTTGGTGGGACAGCCCACTTCCTCTTCACCATCAGGGGTTTTTGGCTGTGCAGGATGGCGCTGGCTCAGAGGATGCAGCCACACAGAGCCTGGCTGCCAGGCCAGATCCGCAGGACTTGTTTTTAACGGATCACGTGCTGAATGCTGTTCTGGGCTGCTTCAGCATTCTTCTTCTTCTTTTTATTTTTTTATTAATACCTTTTTATTGATTCCAGAGAGGAAAGGAGAGAGAGAAAGAGATAGGAACATCAATGATGCATGTGCCCTGACCGGGAATTGAACCGTGACCTTCTGGTTCATAGGTTGACGCTCAACCACTGAGCCAGGCTGGCTGGGCTGCCCCAGCATTCTTGGCAATGGTGGTCCGCATGTAGAAGGCAGCTGGCTTTCGCTGGCCGACCTCTGCTTCATGATGAACCACTGGCTTAAGTGGGGCAGGCCGGTGTAGTGAAGTGAGTTAGCTGAGGGCCTTCAGATTATTGGGCCCAGTGTTGTACATCTGCTTGTTTGTCTGCATCAGGAAGCTGGAGCAGTTCCGCATGACCATCCATTGCAGACGTGGAGGCGGGAGACTGAAATAGCAATAGCTACCTTTTTAAACTTCTTTTGGGATTCATTCCAAAT